AACCAGTTTCCGAATATGTAAAAGAGCACCAACCTCAACTCTTTTGAGTAGCCTGCCTACTGCCAGTCTTTTAAAGAAACAGACTGAGATCACTGTAAAAAAACATCTTTTCTGTTCTTAAAGTGTGATGGTTGCTTTACCCATCAACTTTATTGACCATTTCGTCAATGACATCTAAGATATTTTGGGTGTTGCTGCAAGTGTTTCTGGCTGCGAGTAAATTTGTGCATCTGAATCCTGAGTAGACGGACTCCTCGTACATGAGTGGGCCTTGTCCAATCTGAACAGAAAAGCTGACTAAGAGGAAATTTCTCCTGCTTCTTCCTAGAATGTGGCTTTAGGGGGAATGGTGAAGGCAAATAGCCAGTGGATTCTAGACAGTTCAGAAAAAAAAAATGGAAATGGCTAGTGTAGGCAATGCTGCCAATATATTCTACTCCACAGAAAAAGGGGTGTGGAGTACACAAAGGGAATTGGGGGTTGGGACAGGGAACGGGGATGACAGCATGCTGGTAGCCTGATGAAAAGAACCAGGAGAGAAAGAAGCCAAATGATGCACATGGGAGAAGCACCGCAGTGCCACTGCTGAGAAGGCATTGAGACTTGGTGCACAAGCGGAGCAGGTGGCTTTTGTCCTGGGAACAGTCAGCTGAGCTGAAACAGTAGGGAAGCTAAGTACCACAACACTTCAGAGTTCATGGGAAATGAAATAAAAACATGATTGCTGTGGCGCAAAAAAATTTTTTTAATCCATGCATTTTTTTTTCATAATATACATTTTGTGAAAACTTGAGGATTCCTTATATATGGACATATGAATAATACATAAATGATGAGGTGGTGGGAGGTTCCACAGGTCCTAATCTAATTGCCTCTATGTCTGTAATTAAATATAAATAAGAAGATAAATTGAAAGTCAAAAGGAGGATCTGGGGTGGCTGTTGGTATAGCAGTTAAGTCATTGCTTGGGATGTCAGCATTCCATATTGGAGTACCTGAATCTAGTTTATAACTGTCATCTGCAACTAAAATGCTATACATTTCTTAAAGCTCTTGGGAGCCTGGGACAATGACTCAGTGGCTAAATCTTTACCTTGCACGTGCAGGGATCTCATATGGATGCCAGTTCATGAACCAGCTGCCCTGTTTCCCATCCAGCTCCCTGCTTGTGACCTGGGAAAGCAGTGGCGGACGGCCCAAAGCTTTGGGATCCTGCACCCACATGGGAGACATGGAAGAAGCTTCTGGCTTCGGATCAGCTCAGCTCCAGCCACTGCAGCCTCTTGAATCAGGGAGTCAGCTGATGGAAAATCTATCTCCTTCTCTGTAAATCCGCCTTTCCAACAAAAATAAATAAATCTTTTAAAAAAAATAAAAGGATATTATTGGCATTCAAGTTCAGGAAGCCTCCTGAAAAGCACCATCACTTTAAAATATGGAATTTGCAAAAGTTTTGACACATTCGCTGAGTCACAACTTAACAAAGAAAGCAAGCTGGTCAGAGGTACATTTACATAATTTGTTATTGTTGGGGTTCCTTAAATGAATCCCTGAAAACAGCAAACTTCAAGGCTTTCTGGGGTTAATTCTATTGGTCTGAAGCTTCAAAGAAGTAGCCAAGAGGTGTTGGCTTGCAGAAAAACAACTGCAAGCTAAAATAACGACTGATTAGAGATCTATTTATTAGAACCAACTTCCAGTTGCCTCTGTGTAACTGTTAGCAGACAACAGGTAATAAACACATATATATCCTTATATGCATATATATATACACACACATACATAATATGTATTATATGTCTTTTATTCTCAGTATTGTTTACAGAGTTGAAAAGGATGTACGCCCATGTGAGCCTCTGACTAAGGTGGGGAGGGTCGGGCTGTTTCAGTTCTATTTTTCTTCCTACATGTGCTGTAGATGGGGGGGTTTGAAGGGGGTCACTCCTTTCTGTCAAACTACATCAGCATGCAGGGATGGGGGACAGCCATCTGAGAATGCCTAAGGCGCAATGTGAGGAACAAGGGTATTATTAAGTGGTTCTGATAGTTTTGAGATGTTGTTAGACTCACTGTACCAGGGTTGAGAAAATCCTTCTGAGGTCTGTTGGCTGACCAAGTACACCTGAATGCATCCACAGACCCAGACACTTGCTGCAAGGCTTAGCCAGGAGTGTGATCCAACCTGTTCTGTTTTCCATCCTCTGACAAGCACTCACCATCCTCTGCTGGCTGTCATGTCCTTCAGGTGCATCTGGGCATGCTGTCCACTGCACAGGTATCAGTAACTTAGGAGGTTCAGTCTTGATACATGCACTCCACCCATATATTGTGATTGTCCCTGTGACCGGGGTTTGTGTCCAGTGATCTTGTTGGAAAGTCTTCCAAGAAACCTCAAACTTGACTCTTGTACGCACCAGCTAGTGCAGGCTCAGGTTTAGTCCATCATCTGCCCCAGCCAATACACAAATGGGTGGATGCAGCAACCTGGTCAGTTGTCCCCCCAGCCCAATCTCTCACATGAGCTGGTGGGGACAGTAGCCTAGGCCAGCCTAGCCTGCCACAGACCTGGTCCTCACACAAACCAGGGGGTGCTATGACCTAGTCAGGGTATCTCCTAATAGCCCTCACCAGGCCTGTCCCCAGCCCGTTTTATGCAAGTTGGTATGTGCTGTACCCTTTCGCATCCCAAATTCCACTTCCATCTTGCTCTTGTGCAAACCCATGTCTGCTACGGATTAGCTCAGCACGACCTAGCCCTAGACCTGACCCAAACATATCCTTTGTCCAGCCTGGCCTTCCCCCAACCCTGGATCTTGTACAAGCCAGGGGCACTGCAGTCCAGTCTGACACGATTGACATCCAGTTCTGGCACTTGCCAGTGGCTGCTGCAGCCTAACCCAGCCAACCTGCACCTAATTTTGGTTCTTATGCTGCCAGCAGGTACAGTAGCCTGGCATGGCCTCAGACCCAGCCCTCATGTTACCCCATGGGTGCTACAGCCCTGCCTGGACCAGCCTGCTCCTAGGCTTAGCTATTACATTTGGTGCTACAACCTGGTTCATCCTGGCCTGCCCTCAGTCCCACCTCTTATTGGCAGGTGCAGCATAGTATATTTTCGTCTTTTATTAGACACAATTCTGCCTTATTACTTAAGATTATATAACTATGAATGCTAGACTTTTCCCCATCTTACAACTAAAGAAAGTTTATATAGCTACTAAGGGAAGAAGATAAACCATTCTTAACTGTCATGAGTCAGTAAGAAGCTAACAGAAAAACATTGCTATTTCACATTTTTCTTGTAAGTAATCTTACTGAGTAGGTGGAATGGAGATGAGGGGCAAAGTCATTCCAAGGAGGCAAAGGCAAGAAATAGACGTTGACAGGAAACCCCCTATGTGGCAAAGGATTACTGGATTAGTTAGAGATAAGGGCACATGAGCAGTTGAGTAGTGTGAGGCAGAATAGACCATAGGGTTCACATTTTATCTAATTAAATGATGGTGAGCCATAAAAGAGCTCTGATAAAGGAAAGCACCTTAATAAATTCTTATGGGGGAAAAAAACACTGAGCCACTTAGCCTACAGGTGTAGCCATGATAGAAATCCACACCAGTACCCAGGCCTGAAAACAATCTAGAGAATTATGATAGCAGAAGGATGTATTTGTGACTGTTGCTGAAGAATTATACTATTATAATAATAAGGGGAAGACAGAAGTGGGAGATGGAAGGGGAAATCCCTGTCCTTTGGAACTATATTATGAAAAATTTTAAAAATTAAGTAGTCCAGGACCCGGCACAGTGGCCTAACAACTAAAGTTCTTGCTTTGCACGTACCAGGATCCCATAAGGGCGCTGGTTTTAATCTCGGCAGCTCCACTTCCCATCCAACTCCCTGCTTGTGGCCTGGGAATGCAGTCGAGGATGGCCCAAAGCCTTGGGACCCTGCACCTGTGTGGGAGACCTGGAGGAAGTTCCTGGCTCCTGGCTTCAGATCGGCACAGCACCAGCTGTTGTGGCCACTTGGGGAGTGAATCATAGGACGGAAGATCTTCCTCTCTTTCCTCCTCTCTCCATATCTGAATTTGTAATAAAAATAAAAATAAATCTTTAAATAAATAAATAAAGTAGTCCAGAAAAACAAAAGATTCATGAGCAGGAAGGCCCAAAGGACATGAGAAAAGGATGATGATGGTGTGCTAAAGGGGCTGCACAAATAACTCTCATAATTTCTGTTTTTTGGATACAGAGTACATTTTGGCAATGCTGTATCTTCCAGGAAGGAAAGGCCATAGGAAGAAGAGGCCCAGGGTGGAGAGTGAGATGAGGTGTTTGGCCATGTGTTCCTGAATTGCTGATAGAACCCTCAAGGAAATTCAGTTTGCTGTTCAAGCAAATCTAGTGCTCAGACCTAAAGACAAAAATATGGGAGCTATTAGCCTATTTATGTTACTTCAAATCATGGGATGAAGCTGACTAGTCGAGTATGACAGTATAGTGCACAGCTCATCTAAGAAGCAAGCCATGGAAGGAAAGCCAGTGCAAGAAATACAACTAAGACAGACTGAGGGTGAAGGTAGGAGGGCAAGTCATAGGATTAATTTAATAAAAGAATCTCAAATAGAGTAGTCACATAGCAAAGCAAGAAGCTAGGAAGGAACATACTTTGTCAGGTGTCTGTCCAGTGAGCTCGGTGAAAACAGCGGTGTGGGGGGCAGAAGGGCGAGGAGAAACGCAGAGCAAGGAGGAGAGTGGACTGATGATCACGCTCAGAAACGGAGATTGCAAAGGGACAGAGAAGCTCCAAGAGAACTTTCCTTTTTTATTTTTTTCAACTTGCTTTTTAACTTTTTATAAAAGGGGCAATTCTGGCTTCCATATTCCAAGAACTATGGAGATAAAGGTGCTTCAAGATGGCACGTAGGAGGTAACTGGCAGTTCTGAGACATGCAGGAATTTCCAAATTCGGTTTCCAAAGCAAATGAACACATTAAGCAGTAATAGTTTATGATGTTTATTACTGGGGTTGTTGACAGAAAATCCTTTATTCCACTGTGAATTTAGGCATACGAATGGTTGTTTGTCACATGTGACCTTTTAGAACTTTTATTTAAAAAAATCATAAAACTGAGTCTGAGAAGATATCAGTACCAATTTTTTTTAAAAAATGAGGAAGGCTGAAGAGGGAATTTTGTCATATCCTTAGTAACTGCGACCAAACAAGGTGTAGAACTTGGCAGGATTCCTGCCACAGACGCATCTAGCCCCAGGCTGCAGCTCGCGAAGTGGTTTGAAGGGGATGCAAAGGCTTTTAGCTCCCATGGACGGAGCACCAGGTTCAAGATCTTGATCCCTGAAATGAAAAACAAATTATGAATTCCACTCACGCCATTACTTTCCACTACAGGAATTCACATGTTTTATTGGCTAACTGTGTTTACCTGGCAGTGGTCTTTTTGATCCAGTCTTCACACTCAATTTCCCCACAGAATGGAATCTGAGCAATCTAAAAAAACAACAACAACAAAAAAAAACACCCTCAGTACTCATTAAACCCTTCTTTCTATTCTATAAAGGAACATTTTAGCTTTCAATCTTCCAAGTAAGAGGGGATTCCTAACATTTTTCAAGCATATAGGAACTTTGCTAAGACACAGCAAAGAAGGGTTTCATCCTATGACTCACACCCACAGGGAAGAGGTGACAGCCATCTCCGCAGGCCGCTAAGCTGTCCCGATGCACTGGGAAGGGGTGACAGCCACCTCCGCAGGCCGCTAAGCTGTCCCGATGCACTGGCCACAGCCCAGCGGCTGAACAGAGACAAACTCCAGCTGCACCTGCTTCCCATGTCTGGAGCACTAACCATGCTACTATCTAAATGACCATGTAGGAGGACAAAGTATAGATGACAAATAGTAAACTGAGTTTAAAGTGCTATTAACAATAACAGTTAACAATCAGGCAAGGCCCAATTTATGCCAGAATGTTTTTCTTCTTCTTTTTTTAAGATGTATGTGAATATGTATGTATATATTTAAAAAGCAACATGACTGACACAGGGATAAAAAGATCTTCCACTGTCTGGTTCACTTCCGAAATGGCCCCAAGAGCCCAGGAACTCCATCAGGCCTCCCACATGGCCCACGGGGATTGGCAGGGGCCCCAAATGCCCAAGCAGACCAGAAGCAGTGTGGCTAGGAATTCAGCAGCACTCCAACATGGCATGCCAGCACTGCAAGAGGCATCTTAACTTGCATTGCCACAATGCTAGCACAAACGCCACAATGTTTCTAACATGCTATAAGTAAGGGAATCATTGTAAAGTTCAAGGTTTTTGGAGGGCAAAAATAATTTTCCATCAGGAAATAGATGCTCAATTTTCCTTCTTAGACCATAGAGAATAATAGAATCAAGATATGGAATTTTATATTAATTTAAAAGTTTACTATCTGCTTAAATATCTGGTTCTTAGTGTTTAGTAAAATGTTGGACTAAACAAGCGCTAAGATTTCTCCCAGTTGTGAGATCCATTAAATGGCGGAAGAGTATCATTAATACATTAAAAGAAAAATACTAGTTTTAAAAGCAACAGAAGACATTCCTGAGGTCTATGAAGGGAGAGACCTAAGGACTATTAGAGCCAATTGCAATATATTTTAAGTGTCCTCATCAAGTTTACAATAATTCCCAGCTACGCATTCCTGGCTTAAATTAAAAATGTCTTTTGCGATCCCTTTCCCTGCACTTGAGATTCAGTTGAGCACATTTCAGAAGCTTTCTGTAGGAAGTATACAGGATTAGGAAATCACAGAACACCGGATGTTCTGTCACTATTACACAGTGACAAAAGGTCAGTCAATTCTCTATGTTCATTCCATAAAAAAGGTGCTAGCCTAATTCCTCAAGTTCATAAACTGTTATTCTGATCATCTGCCTTAATACGGCAAGAAAGGGCAACAAACTTCTAGGCGAGACTTGAGGAAGCAGTTGGAGGGAAGGGGGCAGAGACGGAAATACAGTAAGTGTTTACATGAGTTTTAATAAACAATTTATGTAATATGCAACGAAAAGTGAAACAAACTTAAAATACAAGTTGGTAAATCATCAACATTTACATTTACTTATGTACTACTTTAGAATACATGTTGCTAATAGCTGTAGCAATTTATCTAATTTTAGAATAACAGTTCTGATTCCACTAATATCTGCAGATTTCTTTGACAGCAATGTATGCCTTGATAGTTACTTTATTGACTTATTAATTCTTATAAAATATCTCTAATACAGTTTGAGACAAAAATGACTCCCATATTTCTAGAATAAAAAAAAAAGCTTAGGGGTCAGTATGGTGGCATAACAGATTAATTCTCTACCTGCTGACACCAGCATTCAATATGGGTACCCGTTCTGGTCTTGGCTGTTCACTTCTTGAACTAGCTCCCTGCTTATGGCCTAGGAAATTACCTGAGGAGAGCCCAAAGCCTTAGGAGCCTGCACCTGCGTGAGAGCCCTAGAATTTCCTGGCTCCCAGCTTCGGACCAGATCAGATCCAGCCAATGTAGCCATTTGGGAAGTGAACTAGTGGGTGGAAGATCTCTGTTCCCCCTATAACTCTGATATCTCAAGTAAAATAAATAAATCTTATAAGAACAAACAAACAAACAATCAATTTTTTTAAAAAAGCCCTAAAATTATAGTTGTGGCTAGTGGGTTAGCCACTGCTTCCGATACCAGCATTCCATACGGAGTAACAGTTTGAGTCTGGCTACTGAGCTTCCAACCCAGCTCCCTGCTAATGCACCGAGGAAGTTACCGCCCAAATGGATGGCCTCTGTCACTCATGTGGGAAATCAGTACAGAGTTCCTGATTCCTGGCTTCACCCTGGCCCAACCCTGGCTATTGGGGCCATTTGAGCTATGAATGAGCAGATGGAAAATTTCTTAATCTCTTTCCCCTCCCTCCCTTCTTCCCTCCTTCCCTTCTACCCACTGTGTTGCCTTGCCTTTCAAGTAAATATAAACATGTCTTCAAAAATTTTTTCAGTGACTGAACAAGATACTGATAAATTACAGTGAAAGGAAAAACGCCCAGAATAGATGGCTATCCATCCTCTAGTCTGGCATTAAGGAAGATAACTGGAGTGAAATAAAATACTATGGCAATAAAGAAAAACACAAGACTAAATGCTTAAGAATTATGGACCTAAAGGGGATTTTAAAGTTAAGTATTATTTTGCACTCATTTTACAAATCAGTAATGAAGAGATACAAAGGGTTAATTTTTCCAGTTTAGGACCCTAAAACACAGCTTCGCCTTCTATTTTTATCATAATTCTTTTTTAAAAAGAAGATACACAGGAAACTTCATTAAACTGAGTCAGAAAAAAGAAATACATCTAGCATCATGTTTGTTTCTGCATAGTTTGGGTAACTCATTTAGATCTGGCCCATGACCTTCTCATCTGTAACCTGGGGACACAGGACTGGTTGTATATTCAAACGTGTGTACCAGAACACTAAAGTCCAGACATAACAACCCTGCAAATCACGATTTCCTTTTTCTGAATATTAAAAACATTTCCAGTCACATACACACAATACATAAAACCAGTGGAACCTTAAAGAGCCATGAGCTAAGTAACTAGAAAAGTCTATAGTTTTTAAGGATTGAAAAGAAGCCACTCCTCCTGAAATCCGGGCTCAAACTTGAGCATTACCTTTCCCTCAGGATACTCAGAAAGTCCAATCAATTAAGAACTGGGGAGGCATGTTCCGGGAATTGAAAGAAACTTAACTTTCCATCCTATTTTAAGACTCTGCACATTACATTTCTAAAGTTAGAAATATTCAATAACAAATACAACAAAGTCACACAGAATTAATATTTTTAAGCACTGTACTCAGCATGAAAGAAAAAAACATAATCAGTTTGTAAGTGTTATTGACAAATGCTGTAATAGTACAAGACTTTGGGAAGGTCATTTAGAAAGCTGAGTAATATACAATTTTTTTATATGTCTTGCTTGAAAATGAGATTAGGATCATACATAAGTTCAAAGAGTCATTAAATATGGTTTAATGAAGCATTTTCATATTTAAAAAGTTTCTAGAAGTTTCTTACCTTTCCAGAATCTAGAATCTTCTGAAACTCTTCCATTGTATCAGCTACAACCATATGAGTCCTAAGGTCTTCAGACGCCCTACCAAAAAATTGGGTAATACTTAATACTTACTTCCTTACAAATGTGACAGTTTTAGAATCTTAAGTGTTTGGGAAGTCTGCCAATCATACCATGGGTGACCATTAGTTTTGTTATTAATGTCAAATCTGTACTAACATTTTATTCCTATGCTACCTCCTACCCATAGGAGTCAGAGTTGTCTTTCAAAAGTGTGGTCTTAGTTTTCGCTTCTGTAATATTGGAAAAATATTCTAGTAAACCTAACTTTCACATAGAATTTTTGTAATAATGAAACATAAATGCATGAAAGCATTTTAACAACAATAAATAAATATGAGTGTTGAGATATTTTCCCACACTGTATAATTCTGTTTTATAACAGCCCTGGGGAAAAAAAAAACCAGAATTGAGTTTTAGTAATATTCATTATTCTTTTCCACATTCAAAGAATGACATTACACATGGTCCACCAGTGGGTAAAGGCTGAGGAAGAGAAGGCCTATTTGTTCTGCTTCTCTCTGAATGCTAAGACCATGTGAACTCCGTGACAGTGACTGCTAAGCATCCAGCACATGTGCTTCTTCTCTCCATCCATGTGACTGACAGACAATTAGAGGAGGCAGTGGAGGTGGTGCAGTAACATGCAACTGGCTAGGCTGAAGCTTTAAGGAAGCAGGCATGATTCCTATGCAATTTCCCACTTGACAGCAAGAAAACAGCCTGAAGATGACCATGAACTGCTTTGAACTTGTAGATGACAGTAAGTCCTAGGGCATGACCAAAGTCAAAGCAAATAGCAACAACAAAGCTTCCTGTGTTACCAGGGGAAGCAGAGTTGCCCCAGACCTGCACCATTGACCTCACTATTCCATAAAAGATTAGGGAAGACATTTCTTTAAGCTCCTCAACTTTGGTCTTTGTTGTTTACACCAGCTTTGCCTACTTACTTACACACCACTTCTTGAGCTTACCGTAAGCTAAAGCTCAGGCTGAGTGAAAAATTATAGTCTGATTCACATATGCGGAATGACCTGGACTACACACACCAATACTCACACATGCTTACAAAGAAAAAGAGGCAGAAACATTTACATTGACTCTATGTGGATAGTTGCATTTTAGCAGTTTTGTTTTTCTTTAATATTTCATATTATTTCATAATTTTCCTAAAGTGACCATGTGTACCTAAAGTGTAAAAACATTTAGAAACAAGAACTACTGTTAAATCAACTAAATATAAACCATTTCCCAAATACCTAACATGTAAAGCAAGATGCAAAACTTAGATGTAAGCCAAGGGGGGAAAAAAAAAAGGAATTTAATGAATTTAACAAAAATGTCACTTCTTCATTAATAATCTGGCAAATATTTATTGAATTCCTGCCTACCCATAACATATTTCTGGTACCACAGAAAACAAAACAAGCAAAACAAAACAAAAACAAGAACTCTTTTCAAAAAGAGTTTATAGAATCGCCCTCTTACTAAAAATGAGAGAACACTTTATTTTTTAAGAAAAAAATAAATGCATAATTATTCTAACAGGAAAGAAAACGTATCTTACATTAACAAACTAACTTACCAAACAAAATAGTCAATACTAACACTGCTTTTTACTGGGTGGGCATCCGGCTTAGCAATTAAGATGCCCACATCTCAACCAGAGTGTCGGAATTGAAGGTCCAGCTCTGCTCCTGCCATCAGCTTCCTGCTAACACAGATCCTAGCAGGCAGTGGTGACGGTTCAAGTAGTTCAGTTCTTGCTGCCCACATGAGAGGTCTGAACTGAGTCCCAGTGTCAGGCTTTGGCATGGGCCAGCTCCACAGCAGGCATTTGGGGAATAAAGCAGCAGGTGAGAGAGCTATCTGTCTGTCTTTCAAACAAACCCAAGTAATAAGAATCTCCACATGTGCAACTCCAATGTTTCTATTCTGTTGTGAAAAATACTCTTGAAACAGAACCACTGCACTATAATACACTTTTGAAATGTGCAGTAAGGGCAGGTAGCTTTATAATCTTTGATCTGTTTGAGCTCAGGTAAACCTCAAAAGGATTTTGTCAATTGTAGGCCCAACAAATACTTGAAATAACCCTCTTATTTATTATCTGCTCCATTTTAGAGCAAGCAAGCTGAAATACACAGAATAATTTACCTAAAACACACAAACAAGCACTGAAGCCAAGGCTAAAACTAGTTCAACTCCTTGCAACAACAGATTGGTTGAGGCCTAATGTGAGTTAGGCATTATCCTAACCTAACCGAGCCTTTATCCCAGTGGCATTGGGCATTTCTGATTTGCTTCAGATGGGCAGGAAATAATATCAGGTACTACATCTTTGTTACCAACGTTTTGGTGCCTTGCACCTTAGATCTGAGATTCTAGAAAACTCTCCAGAGGTCGGGGCGGCCCTGAACCACTCCCTCCAGTCTGCACCTTCAAACTCAATCTGGAGAGCCTTGTAATCACCTGGGAGCTCTTAACACCATGTTGCCAACCCCTCTCCCGAGCCTTCAAAAGGAAGGCCCTGGTGTTTATCAAAGCTCCCCTGGTGCAGCCACAGGCAATCAGCTGGTAGCCAATGCCTCAGTCCCGCACATTTACATACTGTAAAGGCCTAGAAAACTACAAGTAACCCAAATTAATCCAGGCAACCAGTCCACTGTTGTAATCGAGGTAGGGAGTAGAATACACTTAGGAAAAGATAAACTTGCGAGAGCAGCAAATTAAAGCAGTACAAGAGTTCACAGCGAACAATGACTTCCAGTTGAGGCAACCCAGTATTTCCTTGCTGCTGGAAGACTGGATAGGCACTGAACATGAGAGACAACTTCAAGGAATTACCTTGCGAAAAGGTTAGCCTGGATATCTTCCAAAATGGTCTGAAGTTTAGTCTCAGCTTCATTTTCAGCAATTGTCAGCTTTTCTCCAGTATCTCGTCTGACAGCTACAAACTGACAATTCTTCATATCACGTGGCCCAACTTCAAGTCTAATTGGAACTCCCTATAAAATATAGTTAACACGATAAAATAAACATATGTTCAGCTGAATATACAGACTTACTTTGTAGCTTATATTTGAAACTGTAGATCACAAAAATAAATGCAAAGGTATAATAACAAACAAAAAAAGACAGTATTACTCAGATAAACAGAAACCTGTTTCATCAAGGAAATAAACCTGGGGCAAGCATTTGGTGCAGTGGTTAAGATGCTCTTCAAGCCTCCTATTTGCACTGCAACGCCTAGGTTCAATTCCCAGGGGTACTTCAGATTGCAGGTTCCTGGTGCACGGCACTGGGAGAAGGCAGGCGACAGTTCAAGTACTTGGTCCCTGACATCCCTGGGAGACTTGGACTGAGTTTTGGGCTCCTGGTTTTGACCAGCCCAGCCCCAGTTGCAACAGCATTTAAGCAGTGAAACCAGTGGATGAAAGGCTAGCTTTTTTTTTATTAAAATTAAATTTTATTAAAATTAAAAATTTTTTAATTTTAATAGAAAAAACAAATACCTGCCTCAGTGGTTTGAAGGAAGCTCGTAATGGAGAAATACACAGGGACGGTCTAGATCCGTACTCCGAACTTTGCTCAAACAGCACACGTGGGACAATTACATTGCATGGTACATATGAACAGAGACACTTAAGACACCCCAAGCCACTGCAGGATCAGTGTATTGGCGCATCCTTGACCCCGACAGTGCAATGCTCTGGAGACACCATCTTTCTTTCACATGCATTAGAGCCACCTGGAGAGTTTGTTAAAGAACGAATTGCTGAGCCCTACATCCAGAGTTGCTTATTGGGCCTGCAAACTTACATTTCTAACAAGTTCCAAAGTGATGCTGAAGCAGATGGCTGGTCCCGGAACAGACTTTGAGAATGACTGTCTTTGATTTTAACAAGGAGAGCTAAGGCTGAAGTGTATGTAGGTTTAAGACTTAGGAATTCATATCAGCAACGGAGAATCAAAATCCTTAAGGCATACGGAGACTGCATTTTTAGGGTCCAGAATCTAACTAGATAAACAATACATGTTAACTTTTTTTTTTTTTAAGATTTATTTTTATTGCAAAGTCAGATATACAGAGAGGAAGATCTTCCATCTGATGATTCACTCCCCAAGTGGCCGCAATGGCCAGAGCCAAGCCAATCTGAAGCCAGGAGCCCAGAGCCTCTTCTGGGTCTCCCACGGGGGGAAGGTCCCAAGGTTTTGGGCCATCCTTGACTGCTTTCCCAGGCCACAAGCAGAGAGGTGGATGGGAAGCAGGGCTGCCGAGATTAGAACTGGCGCACATATGCGAACCCGGCACATGCAAGGTGAGGGCTTTAGCTGCTAGGCTACTGCACCAGGCCCAACCTTTTTTTTTTTCAATGAACCTAAAGATAATCTGAACTGTCTAATTTTAAATTAGTTTTTTCTATTCCCCAGCTGTAGGCAACTAACTAGGTTAAACTGTACTTAAGCAAGTGCTACACTGCTGGGAGAAAAGCAGCTAATAGCTGATGGGCATCCTAGGCCTGGTTAATGCCAAGTTTGGGTGAACTACACCAGTATTTCAGCATAATGCTTATTCTAGTATCCATGTGCAAGTGTGCGTGGACCCTGAGTTATGCAGACAGGGCCCCAGGTTGGCATGGGACACCACCAAAGCACGAGGCTTGGGAGCTGGGGCAGAACTCATGGCAGTGGGTCTGGAGCTGTGTGGGAGGGAAGAGCGCTGAGGGAAAACATGACAGCTGAGGGCTGACTTCGGGGGACTTCCACCAATCAGGCTGTTGTAAGCCAAAACTGAGGTTTTAAATGTTATTCTAGAAATCCTCACTTACTACCTCTTGAGAAAACTCATTTTACAAAAACAGTCAACATTTTAAAGGGAAATGATGGCTCAAAAGCAGTGAGCACGGCCAGCAGGAAATACGCTTTCCAGAAAATACCTGGACTTCTTAGAGCTATGGGCCAACAAAGCGAGGGCAAGATAAGCCTACAATAACATCTTGTGCCAAAAAGCAAGAGTGCTCCAAGTCGGAAAAGCAAAGCAATGCCAAAGGAACACAAAAGCCACCCTCATCAGGGCCTGCTGAGAAGTTAGACACTTTAAACATCAAACAACTGATAACCCACTGAACACAGAGAAGAGGCGGAGAAGGCGGGCTAAGAAAGGGGAAAGTATTAGCATTTAGCATTAAGATTTAAACCCTGGGACACTTCAACAGATGTTAATCTTTGATATTTTACCATTAACTCTAACAAAGTAAACTACAGGGAGCTCATACATGGATTCTGGATACATTCCTACAGATTCCTGGCACAAACATTTCAGTTTACCAACCACCTGAGATTTACTGATCAAAAACATGGGCTTCTGGGCCCAGCATGATAGCATAGTGGCTAATGTCCTCGCTTTCCATGTGCCAGGATCCCATAAGGGCACCAGTTCTAATCCTGGCGGCCCTGCTTCCCATCCAGCTCCCTGCTTGTGACCTGGGAAAGCAGAAGAGGATGGCCCAAAGCCTTGGGACACTGCAGCAACATGGAAGATCCACAAGAAGCTCCTGGCTCCTGCCTTTCGCTCAGCTCAGCTCTGGCCATTACGGCCACCTAGTGAGTGAGCAGAGGAAGGAAGATCTTTCTGTCTCTCCCTCTCACTGTAGATTTCACTTTCCAGTAAAAATTAATAAATCTTTTTAAAGAAAATTTTGCATATAAGCTATGACTAATACAAAGGTTATGAACAGAGGCAATACTCAACACTCAAATAAAGTCAGTCACCCTATCAAAACAGGAGAGTTTCAGGGCTGTGGTCGCCGTGGCTGGACGGACGCTGGTATGGGTTTGCTGGTCTGCTGGGAGTGCACAGACACTGGCACAGACCTGCTGGTCTCTTGGAAGAGGGCAGGAGCCCAAATCAGAGCCAACAACACTTGCAGCTCCAGGCCAGGCTCCTCCGGTCACGTGTGCAGAGGCGGAACAGAAGTGATGGCAGTGAATGTGCCCCGCCAGGGTACCACTGGGGAGAGGAGTCTGTTCTTTATCCCCCTTACAAAGCAGATCTACCCCAACACTTCTCCACTGTTACTCTTTCTTTCCATAGCAGCACTCAGAACTCTCATGATATTAGCCAGTGGGGACTTGTCGTTGTGTCCACCGTGTACAGAAATCCAGGCAGGGCCCAGCCAAGGGACAGACAAGACTTTTTCCTCCATCTTCTACATGGTCAACTTAAAATAAAAAGTCCACTCTGGAGTCAAACATGGAATTTAATTCCACTGGTGAAGATGGAAAAGAGGGGCTCTCAGAGCTATTTCCCTACCCCGACAGATCCCCACTGGGGCACCTGAGCGTGTGGGCAAAACTGATGTTCTTCAAATTGGTGCAGGTTTCCTGTGCACTGTTGCGTTCCGGGTCAGGTGTTAGTCACTGGCCCACTTGCAGAGGTGAATGAGGCTGGATGTCCATCGCTCTAACATTCTGCCTGTTTTCCCAGACTGTTTCAAGAAACCTTTGACCAGCATGTAACAGGAAATTCTGTGGGGCCCCAGGGCTCCATACTTTTTGAAATGTCCTTTGTGGCACCGGAAGTGGCTGTGTTGAGTAAGCGTCTCCTGTGCGGAATGTGCGTGCTGCGTGGACCTGCACACTCAGGTTGCGGTCTGCCAGTAGACAGAAGTGTGCCATGTCAAGTCCAGGTGGTGCTGCCTCCCTTGCCTCTGTGTGGGCTGCGTGGTGTCTGAAGCTGTGTCCCGGGAGGAGCAGCTGGTCAGGGGGAGCTGGGCTCTAGGGGAATACAGCTGTCCCAGCATCGGAAGAAGGCGGCTGACAAGTTTACATCTATTTTCTTCCAACTTTCCTCTTTTGACATGAACCCACCCCATCCCCCCAGCACTTGGGTGCTTTCAGATTTCAGAGTCTCGGGCAGTGGACATAGGGAAGCTCTGCAAGCACTGAGCTAGACATGCCAGCTTCGGGAGGAGTGCCAGATCATGATGGAAAATTACTTCTGGATCCTTCGCCCACCTGACTGAACAGAGGGGCTCTCCCCTCCCTGAGAACTGCTGTGCTCTCCTGTGAGAGCACCTGTCTGCCGCCGTAGCTCAGAGGCGAGCCTGGAGATAAGTGAGGCATGGTGTTGGCGCAGTGTCCTGTCTGAGAGGACTCCTCGTAATTGCTGAGTAGCTGTTACTGCTGCCCTGAGCTGGGGCCCAAGGGCTGGGAAATTTGTCAGTCCACCTTGCCCCACCATTTCCCAGCTCACCAACTGTCGGGGCAGGAAGTGCTGTGTGGCTTGTCCCCTAGCCCGCCCCCTGCACGCTGATCCTGGTCCCCAGACCAATGAGTTTACCTTTTTGTTTTGCCAATTTAGCCAATGGGCCACCCTCTGGCCCGACATCTCCTGGCCATACCATCTCATGTATGACTTTCACATCCTCCCCAGGATTCTGTGTTTTAGCCCAATTTCCTTCTCCTAAGTTCCTATCGAGGTTTCTCCCATCACTTCCAAGGAGGGAACAATAGTTACAGAAGCATTTGCGCTGTACAGAATCTGCTTTTATTTCCCACCGTTTGTCTCTAGGGTTGAGACACCTGAACACAGGCAGAGGGCCGAGGCTGGGCAGGGCTGTCCCAAGTTGAGGGGCCTCTCTGCATTTCCCTGAGACCTCAGAACCTTCTCTGTGAACTCCACCTGCCTAGTTCTCCCTTTTAATCCTAACTCTTCCCACATCACCAGAGAGGAAAAGCTCTTTGTTCAAAATGAAGAGAAAACATAAAGCATATTATTTTCTTTAAAAAAATTTTTTTTAAACCATGAAAAAGATATTTTTAAAGAAATTTACCCAGAACATTAAAGTTCACTATATTAAGTATAAAAAAAATAGGAAAGTTTCTGGAAAAGCCTCAAGTTTTATAAAAACTTGTGTAGGAGAGAAAAATCTAACTCCAAACTGCTGGTGTGGGTGTGTGGGCGTAAAAGGCACAGGTGACGACTTTACCTTGAGCTCCCAGTGATTGAATTTCCAACCTGGTGAGTAATTGTCTCGCAAGTCAGCTCGGACGCGAATGCTAACACTCAGCAACCGCCTTCGATAATCGTTGCACTTTGCAACCAGAGCTTCTCTGTCTTCTTCAGAGAGTGCATTTGTAATGCCACAAGGAATCACCACCACCTAGGACCCAACAGAGTGATCCAGGAAAATATGCAAGCTTTATAACCAAATACATGTGAGTTCAAACCTACCAGTGACTGTAAACCAGCACAAATCAACTGTTGTTGTTTCTCAACTACAATGATGTTTAATTAGCCACATAACGCTTATCCATAAATGCATTTTCTGTGACTTACTATTTTTCATCTAACCAGAATAATTTCAAAAAGTTAGTTCCTCAAAGTTTTTTACATAAAGTAGCTTAAATTAAACAGAAACTAATACACAGTCACACGACACTGAAGTCTAAGCTGTATTTCATATTGTTTGCTAGCAACAGGATGTTGGCATTTCTGAATAGTATTCAGAAAATTACTCTTTCAAATTTTATGTGAAAAATATGGAAATGATAAACAAGCGATCTTACCTGGACAGAGGCTACCCGTGGTGGTAACACTAAACCCATGTTGTCGCCATGAACCATGACCATGACACCAATAGTCCGGGTTGTCAGACCCCAGGAGCACTGATAGGCAAACTGCTTCTCCCCCGGCGTCTTTGGATCTTCAAAAACTATTTCACACATTTTGGAAAAATTCTGTCCTAAATGATGCGAAGTTGCTCCCTAAAACAAATACAGCATTTTGATGGCTTTAAATAACAACTGATCTATTTTATCTTCCTTTATACACTAAACAAAAAGCATACCCAATATAAACCAATATAACAAGTAACTAGAATAAGTCAAATAAAGAAATAAAAAGGACGGTATGAAGTCACTCTGGTCAGTTCCTTTCACAGGAGTAAGTTACAAGCATGCAAAAAAAAGCTCTGGTTTCAGGATATAAGCTGCAACTTAAATGACGGAAGAAATCTGCTGAAAAGCACAAAAAACTGCTGCTCCAATCAAGACAGAAGAAATTGCTGAATCTAGTGTGAATTCACACGGTCCCCTTGAGCCACAGGCAGCAGCTCTGTACCTGGATCGCTCTTCCACTGGAAGATATAAATGCTTCTAGTGTAGTGGTATAGTCTCCTCCTGCAAACTTCTCCTTCTCAGTCTTTCTTCCTTTTACGACAGGAATTGCCAGGAGTTCTTCATAGACCCGAACGTATAAATCAAGTATCTGCAAGACCTGCAACAACGTTTACATGTCCATGTGCTCAAACTCAGGGCATATTCAGTGATTGTAGATATGTAAAATCACACTATTTAAGACTAACTGTGTGAGAAAAATAGCGGAAATAACTAAAACTTTTTTAATGGGGAGACCACAGCAGCCAATGTGAACTTATTCAGCAACGCGGTGTGAAGAAAAGCTGAATGTTTTTAAATACATGAATTCAGAAGAGAACGTGTTTATGACCAGTACAGTCACTGCAGTGAAAAAAATCTCAAGATCGATTAACTTCAATCATGAAATTATCACTTTTTCATGCAGTGCAAAAACATGACACATTTATTAATGTCAGCGACCGCCTTATCAAATCCATGTGGATATGAATTTGTCTGATATTTCTCTTAACAGATGTTACACAGATTTTAAGTCATCCAAACAGAAAGTAGAGTCTGAACAATGAAACGGAATGTAACTGACATTTTTCATACCTCTTCTGCTGCTTCTTCAAAGGTAGCGAACGCGCTGTGTCCTTCCTGCCAAAGGAACTCACGGGTACGCAGAAAAGGCTGAGGGTGCTTGAACTCCCAACGCTACGGGGCAAGAAGACAATGTGGTTATTAGCGAAAGCTCTTTAACATTTACTTCACAGGCTAAGTAATCAGAAATCCTAACCCAAGGTACTTAAAAGAAAAAAATTTTCCTACACTCAATCCTTCAGATTTGAAAATGAGGAGGAAAAGTGTAGCTTTTAGACAATAAGGTAATGGGAGACTGCGGGAGAGGATGTGTACGTACCACCACATTGCACCACTGGTTAAGCCTGATGGGCAGGTCTCTGTGTGACTGCACCCACTTGGCATAGGCAGGATACATCACTGGAAAACAGGAAAACAGACCGTTCTTTCTCCTTGATGGCTGGTAAGAATTAGACCAGCAACAAAATTAATAGGAATTACAATGTGCCTTGGTGTGATTCTGTGTCTAGTATCTGTTAAAGCTAACTAAAGGGTGTTACCATCTACTTCATTAATGCCTTACAAAAAAGACAAAAACCTATTTAACTTAGGCATGTTTGTCACGTGAGTTACATTTAACATTTGATTTCTTTGCTTTTCATGTTTTACTTTTAAAATCACCACTCTATTCCAAGCCCTTTGTCAGATTCTTTGCATTCATCAACCTATTCAAAGCTCACATTTAACACAAAGGGAATATCACATACTCAATTTTAAAGTTGTGGACGTTAAATAACTTGGCCAATTCAGCAGGGTTATGATTAGACCCACTGATGCCACAACTCTTAGCAGTATAAAGACTTGCCAAAGTCTTTATCTTTGCCTACCTTTGATCCATAGTAAGTAAAACAGAATGAAATTTGACCAATCTAATAAGAGAAAAAGAACACTGGATACATTAACTTCAGTGATGCATTATACAAAAATAGAGGTAGATGTATCCAATAAAAAGCAAACAATTCTTAACTATAAGGATAGATAATTACTTCTAATACATTATCAAACTCCAAGGGCTCAAATGACACTCCCTTTCACCATATTCCTTTCACTATATTCACTTTCAGGAAAATGAGTGAATTTTTCGGAGGCTTTATGGACAAATGGAGATAATAATTTCCCCTCCCCACCTTCTGACAACCTGTTGCGAAGACAACATAAGATGATATAAGTGAAATTACTCAGTTATCTACAAAACTTGCATGGATGTACATCTATTTATAAAAATCAGTAAGAAAATTGGTAAGTAATATAGCATAAAGCCTTAGTATTTGCAATTTTATAGTACAGTCTAAATAAAATTTCTTTATAAGTTCGAAAAACTTCGAGCAAAAATAAAATGAAAGTGTTAAAAAAAACTATCCAGATGATAAAGAGCTCTGTAGTGAATATTATATAAAGAATTCTGTACAACTTACATTTGCAATCAATTTTTATCAACATTCATTAAACTTTAGCTCCTCATCAAGGATTATAAATGTCATAAAAGACTGAGATTCAACTCTACCGTTGCAATGAGGTCTTTTCTGTACTCCAAGACTCACTCTCACCTGTTTCACTGGTAGGGCGAATGGCAATCGGCTCTGCCAGCTCTGTTTTGCCAGATCGTGTGACCCAAGCAACCTAGTAAGACAAAGTCATTTTTTATATTTGCTTTCAACATCACTCTAGAGGAATAGTATAAACTCATGAAACTTCTCTGTGTCAAGTTTCCTCAACATTAATTATGCTGAGAAGAAAGGTATAAATTAGTAAGTTGGTATGAGAAACAGAATCATAACTTCTGATAAAAATAAAAATACATTTTAAAACAAAAATGAGTTTACAGTTCTCCAAAATGCTTTATTACTCATTATTGAAAATACGCCCTTTACGGGGCTGGCATTGTAGCCTAGTAAATTAAGCTGTTATCTATGATGCCGGTATCCCACATGGGTGTCTATCCATGCCCCGAGTGTTCCACGTTCAATCCAGTGCCCTGCTAATGGCCTGCAAAAAACACTGCAGAAGATGGCCCAGGCCAAGCCGTTGCAGCCATACAGGAAGTGAATCAGTGGAAGGAAGATCTCTTTCACCATATATACAACTCTGACTTTCAAAAATAAATGTTGGGAGGCGGGGCAAAAAGAAAATAAAATATACTCATTAGTATGAAGAAAATTTAAAAAAAAATTTTTTTTTAAAGCAAGTCAACTTACCTCAGGGGCAAAGTCAGCAACATGCGTCTTCTCTTTCTCTAATGCACTTTGAGACACAAATATGGGGAAATAGCAGTTTTCAACACCAAGTTTCTTGATCTCAGCATCAAAAAAGTCCTTGATGGATTCCCAAATGGAATATGCCCAGGGGCGAAGAATATAGCAGCCACTGACATCATAGTATTCAATCATTTCTGATTTTGTGATAACCTTTAAAAGAAAAATGGTCTGTAAATCCTAAAGAGGACAAAATTTTCTAATAAAAATGGCAAGGACATGATAAAATTAAAATTAGGGGGCTTACACTATTCATACATTCACTTAATGGAGAAGATCATGGAAAAACAGACCTTCCTATACTGAGAAACATCTAACAGGGTTCAAAATGCTTAAGAAAACCTGAACTCAAATCTTATCTTTATTACTCATCATCTTTAGGACTTCGAATTAAAAATTAAAATAATGAGTATCTCATAAAAGTGCTATTTTTATTCAATGCATTCCTCCCTGGTATGGACTAGCTATGCTAGTTACAGGACACCATACCTCTCTATCCTACATACAGATACCAAAACCCAAGGACGCTTCCGTCTGTCATACAGATGATCACCTGGGGCCGGCATTGTGAGGTAGCAGGGTTGAGATGCAGCTTGTAATAGCAGGACATATTGTAGGAGTGACAATTTGAGTCCTTGCTGTCCTGTTTCAAAAGGCAGCAGAATATGGTCCAAGGGTCTGGGTCCTAACCACCCTTGTTAGAGATCAAGACGCAGTTCATGCCTCTTGGTATTAACCTGGATCAGACCTGGACACTGTGGCCATTTGGGGAGTGAACCAGCGAATGCAAGAGTCTCCCCCTCTGTCACTCTGACAATAAATCTTTAAAATACAAAATAAAACAAATGGTCTCCTATTTGCATAAAACCATAATTCTCCCATATACTTTAAATCATCTCAACATTACTTGTAAAAATGTAAAGAATATGTCAGCTGTTAGTGTATATTGTTAGGAAAATAGTGACATGAAAAATATCAGCAGCTTTTTCCTAAGTATTTTCTATCTGCACCTGGCTGAACCCACAGACGCACAACCCCCAGAGAGCCAACTGCACTTTATATAATTTTCCTCTCTATTTTCTCCCCATCTTTTTAACTTTCTAGGTAATATTTTAGGTTTACACTACAATAAGACTTAATACTTAACCAAAACAAGAAATCTAACAAGTAAGAAGCAAAAGGACCATAGATTAATGGCTATGAATAATAACGGAATAGAAAAAAAGACCATTTTATGTGATATTTTTAAGACTATGGTATGTTAATAGATTATACTGCATCATTAAAGACTTTATACATTGCTACTGTTAACCTTGTGTCTGAGTTTTATAATCTAAATCTGATTTTGAGAAATTTAAAATATTAAGTGTCAAGTGAATGCACACTCACCTGGGAATACCAATCAGCAAGATTTTCTTCCTTTTTTGCCTCAAGACCCAATCTGTTAAAAAAAAAAAATTCCTTCACTCAGCAATTGTTTCTAGGTTGTGTTTTAGTCCATTTTCCAATGCTCTAACAAAATAAGCAGGTCAAGGAAATCTATAAGAACAAAAGCTTAGCAGGTTCACGGTTCTAAAGGCTGCAAGCCCAAGAGCACGCTGCTGACATCTGCCTGGCATCTGGTGAGGCCTTCCTGCTCAGCCTAACATGGTGGCATGGGGCATCACATGGTGTGGCAGCAAGCATGTGAGCGGGGCACTCTGTCCTCTTCTTACAAAGCCACTAATTATCTCTTAAAGACCTAACTCTAAATGCCATTAAAATATGAATTTGGAGATTAGGTTTCTAATAGACACACACATTCAAATAAACCTCTAAATTCTAAAAGGACGCATTTTTGTTTACTGTGTGCTAGTTCTGTAGTTACAGGCTCTTTGTTTATTCCTAAACATTTCCATCATTTCATAAGAGATAATGAGATGTTCTCTGCCAAGAACTAGGAAAGCCAAATCCATCCAAAAACTACACTTGTAATGCAAGTATCTCTTTCATAAAACTCTTTTTAAGGTAACCTTTTGGGGCCTCCACTTGAAACATAGGCATCCCAACTTGGGGTGCCAGTTGAATTCCCAAGTGTTCCACTTCTGATTGAGCTTCCTGATAATGTGTCATGGGAGGCAACAGGAAACGATTCAAGTGTAACAAGTCCCATTATCCATCTGGGAGATCCGGACGGAGATCTGGTCAGAGTTCCAGACTCCTGGTGTTGGTCAGTCCAGCCCTGGCTGTTACGGGCAATTGGAACCATGAACCGATGGGTAAAAGATATATCTGTTTCTATATACACAGCTCTTTCCAGAAGATGAAAACCGATCAATAAACTAATAAACAGTTTTCTAAACCTGAAGAGTTGAATCCATTTAAACCTGTCTCTCATCAAGTGAGGCCTCCACGTTTTATTTTACCTGGTCTGCTTCTTAGGCCCCTGCCCTTCTCCTGCTCCACTGGATGACAGCCCACTTCCTTGGCTTTTGGAAGCATCTTTCTTTTGGCCATCATTTTGTTTCTGAGGCTTATTTTGCTTTTCAGACTTATTTTCTTTTTCTTTCTTCTTCTTGTCTTTGTCCTCAGCTCCAGTGGCAGACACAGGCTTATATTCCACACCCGTGAGGGACTTATACTGTGCCTTCAGCTGCAAGAGTTCCTGTACGGCTGCATCTATTTGGTCCTTTAGTAGAAGACAAGACAGTATTTAATTCAAATCATGGCCTAAACACCCAAAAATAATGTCTGAAGCTTAAAAAGCATGTGATCAACCAGGACAGAACTATGCATGAGTAACTGGTAAAAACAAAACAAAACAAAAAAAACAGATTATAACTGCACTGTCCAAACAGTAGTCACTAGTCACATGTGGCTATTCAAATAAAAATGAACTCAGTTCTTCAATCCCAGCTGTCACATTTCAAGTCTTTAAGACTCCTATGCGGCTAATGACTGTTATGCAATATTCCGTGATCATACAAAGTTAAGTATTCCAAAGGCATCTAAACTAAGAGCCACTGAATTACACTAGGTTGAGTACTTCACAATTATAAAGATGATAGTAATTGAGTTTCCATATTGCTTGTTAAACTTTAAAACTTATGATGACTTAACTGTCTGCTCACATGAACTTGTATCAGAAAAAGTCCTACTCACGGGACTGGCATTCTGACACCACATACTAAACCACTGCTTGCAACACCCACACCCAATATTGGCGTGGCCAGTTTGAGTCCCATCTACTCTGCTTCCCACCCAGCTTCCTGCTAATGCAGTCTTGGTGGCAGCAGGTAACAGTTCAAGTGCTTTGGTCAATCAAAATGCAAGAAACAAAGGTACACAAACAGAATAGCATACTAACTTTGGAGGCTTTTTCCGCTTTGAGTTTTCGAACTACTTCCCCTTGGCAAGCTACTCTGTCAAACAGTGCCTTGGCGTCTGAAGTTTCTGGGCCCACAGGCTCAGAGTTCCCAGCAGGTTTTGAATCTGTGCTTTGAGACAAAGGGGGCTGACCAGGTACATACTCCTTCCCAGTTTTTTCTTTATACTCAGCTTTCAGGGACAGCAAGCGTTCTACAGCTTCGTTAACTTTAGCCTGAAGTGAAAGAGGAAAAGAAACAAATATTTAATATTTCCTGAGATATTTGAAAACTTCAATGTCACTTTAAAAATAGCATTATCAACAAAATACAGTCAGCCACCCGTATTTACGGGAAATTACGGATTCACTCAACTACGGAGCAAAAAAGTTGGAAACAAAATCTGAGGGGCCAGCATGGGTGCTGCGGTATTTGAGACCACTGCTTTCAGCACCAGCATTCCACATCCCAGCACTGATTCAAATCCTAGCTGCTCACACACCTGGGGAGGGGTAGAAGATGGCCCAAGTGCTTGGGTTGTTGCCACTTACTTGAGAGATGCAGGTGGAATACCGGTTCCTGAGCTAGCCCCAGCCATTCTGGCCAGCTGGGGAGCGAAAAAGTGGATAGAAAAAAAAAAAAAAAAAAGAAGACAGAAGACTCTTGCTTTCTCTCTCGCTCTTATTCTGACTTCCAAAATAAATAAATCTTTTAAAAATGCATCTGTATTGGAATGTATATAGACTTTTTTTCTTGTCCTTATATCCTAAACAATATAGTATAATTATATATATCTCACATTCACAGTATTAATGATGATTTAAAATACACAGGAAAATATGCATTACACATAAATCTGATGCCATTTTAAGTAAAAGACTCAAGCAGACCCAGACTTTTGGTATGGTTGGGGTTGGCAACCATACCAAATTGGCAGCCAATCCTTCATGGCTATCAAGGGAAGACTGTCTTCCAGTAAGTCAGTTAATTATGGAAAAAAATTTGTTATCAGTCTAATGTCACAAAGCTAAGGTTAACACTCTTCCATGTACTCATGATCTAAACACATATAGTACAGTAACTCTGCAATCTACAGAATTAAGCAAATAAATTATCTAAATCATGCAAACTGTCATATCGTCTGTAGTGAAGTCAAAATGTACAAACAAACAAATAGTTCAACAGCTTTAACTACACAACTCTTACTTCTCTTTTAAAATTATTTATTAATCCATGCATTTATTTATTTATTTGAAAGGCACAGAGATAAAAACCCATCCACTGGTTCACTCCCCACATGCCTGCGACAGAACTCAAGAACTCCATTCAGCTCCTGCAGGGACTGGAGCACTGGGCCATCTTCCGCTACCTTCCCAGGTGCCTCAGCAGGCACGCTGATCAGAAGTAGAACACGCTGGCACTCCAGTAGGGGATGGTGGCAGCACACACACTGAGGAGCCCACTCTGCCACAATACCAAGCCCCATTACTTTCTTCAGACTCTTCAGCAGATTTTAACTAGAGCCTGGCCAGTGGGGAGGGAGGGCAGTGAAGTTTGAACCCAACTACAGAATAGTTATGTCACTCTTAAACATTTTACAATAAAAGAAAGCGTGTTGAAACTTCAAATGCTCATCCATGTATTTCAACCTCTAAGCAGTCAATAAAATCATACTGAGAAAAAACAAGCCACTCAGCTCAACTAAGACACTTAGGATTCTGGCAGAGGACAGAAAGGAAGGTAAATAGTCCAAGCTGGAAACACTGCCTGAAACACCACCTAACCACAGACCAGCAGACCAAGGATAGAACGAAGTCATTAAGTCAAATAAAGAAAGTATCTGCAATTACTCTGCCAATTTTCACTGCTCCATTATAGGTGACACCCAAAGAATGCCCGGAATGAGGGTGAGTATCTGGCACAGCAGGTAAGTTGTGCTTAGGATGTCGACATTCCACACTGACATTCCCAGTCTGTGATTTCCTGCTCTGGATGTGCCTCCAGCTTCCTGCTAATGCAGATGCTGGGGCAGCACCGACGGCTCACGCAATCAGGTCCCTGCCACGAACAGTAGACACGGACTAAGTTTCTGCCTTCAAATTTAGACCTGAATCAGTCCTAGTCATTACAAGCGTTTGAAGAGCTAACCAGTGGATGGATGACAGCTCTGTCTTTCTCTGCCTCTCAAGTGGGTAAATGAGTAACCTAAAACTTTTAGGGAACAGTGCAATGGTTCAATTGGCTAATCCTCTATCTGCAAGCACCGGCATCCCATGGGACTGCTGGTTCATGTACTGGCTGCTCCACTTCCCATCCAGTTCCCAGCTTGTGGTCTGGGAAAGCAGCAGAGGATGACCCAAAGCTTGGGGCCTTGCACCCGTGTGGGAGACCTGGAGGAGGGTCCTGGCTTTGGACCAGCTCAGCTCTAGCCAGTATGGCCATTTGGGAAGTGGGGAAGTGGAAGGAAGATCTTTCTGTCTCTCCTTCTCTCTGTGGATCTGCTTTTCCAACAGAAATAAATATATATTTTTAAGATTTATTTTTATTGCAAAGTTAGATATACAGAGGATGAGAGACAGAGAGGATAATCTGTCCGATGATTCACTCCCCAAGTGACCGCAATGGCCGGAGCTGTGCTGATCCGAATCTAGGAGCCAGGAATTTCCTCCAGGTCTCCCACATGGGTGCAGGGTCCCAGGGCTTTGGGCCATCCTCTGCTGCTTTCCCAGACCACAGGCAGGGAGCTGGAAGGGAAGCAGAGCCACCAAGATTGGAACCGGTGCATTCCAGGCGAGGACTTGAGCTGCGAGGCCACCACGCCGGGTCCCCAAAATAAATATATCTTTAAAAAAATGTTTTAAGAGACAAAAAAAAAAAAAAAAATGAGGGCAACACACAGAGTCACATTTAGAATGGCAAATACTCAAACAGCTATTTCTGCAGCAGCCAGTAGGGAGAAGCATTTCTCCATGGGGAACAAACTAAGTCAAGGCTGGTGGCACATCACACCCTGTAACCTACACTTTCCACCTCATAGGCAACTTTGTCCCATGCAATTCACCTATCATGACTATTCTAACGATTTATACATACCACACAGGATTACAGGCACAGCACAGAAAATCATATGAGTTTATACATTTCTTCCCCAGCAACCTCTCCTTCTTCACTATTCCTTATTTATATTTTCAGAGGCTGGCATAGAGCAGGTATCAGTAAATGGTGACAATTGTGTCAAAACATGTAAGGAATGAGAAAATGAGTCGTGGGAGATACACTAGAGCAGATAATGTATGGAGTGTGAAAGCCCTAGCCATTGGGAATGCATACGCCAACTCGCCCGATGTTCCTGACCTGCTCCAGCACACTGACCTTCGGGGCCTTTTCAGCTTTCAGCTGACGCACGACCTCTCCTTGGGCAGCAACCTCATCATACAGAGATTTACTTTCCAGAACACTTGCTGACGACTTAGAACTGTTCTGTGCGACAGCAGCGGGAGGATTTCCAGGTTTGTATTCCTGGCCAGTCTTCTCCTTGTACTCAGCTTTCAAAGCCAATAGCTTTTTTACGGCAGTATCTACATCTTCCTTTGCTGCTTTTTTGGTTTTCAGTTCACGAACCACGTCCCCCTGTGCAGCCACTCTGCTGTAAAGGAGCACGGGATCCTCAGAGGCAGCGCAAGCATTCGGTACAGAAGGTGCTGGCTTTTCTTTAACAGGAGTTTTCTACCAAAGTTTGAAAAAAAAGAAGAAAGATTTATTTCGTGTTAAATGTCCTCCCACAAAAATATGAAACCATTTTACATTTCAAGTGAGAAATATAATTTTTAAACTTCAATATCTTAAAACTTTTAAGCAAATAACCTCATAAAAAATTGTTCTAGTAAAACAAGAGGTACACTGATATTCGCCACAGCATTTTTTCATCATATTAGAAAAAAGATTAAAAACACACTAAATTCCTTTCTTTAAATATTTATTTTTATTAGAAAGGCAGATTTACAGAGAAAAGGAGAAACACAGAGAAAGATTTTTCCAACAGCTGGTTCACTCCCCATGTGAATGGTCAGAGCTGATTCTATCTGGAGCCAGGAGCCAGGAGCCTCTTCCAGGGCCTACCATATGGGTGCAGGGTCCCAAGGCTTTGGGCTGTCCTCGACTGCTTTCCCAGGCCACAAGCTGGGAGCTGGATGAGAAGTAGGGCCGCCAGGATTAGAACCAGCGCCTGGCACATGCAAGGCAAGGATTCAGCTACTGGGCCCAAAAAACACTAAATTCTTATCATTAGAGGACTAGGATACAATGAACAGGTCTGAAAATAAAGCACTGCCTGTTACTAGCTACGCAACTTAGATTTACTATTTATTTCTTTTACTGTAAACAGAGTTAATTTTAGTTAACAGTTTGATAGGAAAAGCAATAAAAAATAGTAAACCCATGTAGAGTCCTTAATCACAAAGGCTGTGAAAAAATGAGCATTTGGGCCTGGTGGTGTGGCCTAGTGGCTAAGGTCCTCACCTTGAACACACCAGGATCCCATGTGGGCGCCGGTTCTAATCCTGGCAGCTCCATTTCTCATCTAGCTCCCTGCCTATAGCCTGGGAAAGCAGTCGAGGATGGCCCAAAGCTTTGGGACCCTGCACCCGCGTGGGATATCTGGAAGAAGTTCCTGGTACCCGGCTTTGGATCGGCATAGCATCGGCCGTTGCGCTCACTTGGGAAGTGAATCATCGGACGGAAGATCTTCCTCTCTGTCTCTCCTCCTCTCTGTACATCTGATATTCCAATAAATAAATAAATCTTTAGGAAAAAGTGAGCATTTAATAACAATTTCTTAGAATGAACTACATTTAGACAGTTGATAAGGCAACAGCTCCATGAATATACCGTGAAATAATCAACTCCCCATTGAAGAACAGATGAATCTGTGCAGAAGTATATGTTTATAGATACATATCTGTCCATAAATATATGTAACATATGGAGTCAAGGGTAGTGAATAAGCACAGTTTTTATTCTCAATGTCATGCTTCCTCTGCCTAGGATGTGATCCTCCCTATTAAAATACCAACCTTAAGATTCAGCATAAAATATTCCGCATTTCCTTTTACTTGAATGATCTTCCACTAAAATTCTGAGAGTAACCTCAGCCATCTCATGGAGTCATGTATATTAAACTCCAGTATTCCTTACTTCTATTCCGGAACACTGTCCTGATCCCAGAGTCAGCATTTTCAGGTCTTTAGTCAGCCATGAAGTACCTTACGTTGTACAGGAGATGCCTTTTTCATGGGGATTCTAAAGTCATCACAAAACCTAAATTGTAACCCCCTGTCAATTCTTTAAATTATTCATAATTTATAGCTTTTAGAAACCCACAGAGATTAATATACATATGTAAATACATACTGAATAGTAAGAGAAGAATATAGCTAAGGGAGTCACTCAAAATCACAAATTTTGTTCCAATTCACTTATATTTAACAATAAACTCACTGATGGTGAAACCAGGGGAACCTATCAGTTGAATACCGTAAGAAAAGGCTAAACCCGCATGAGGTCCTTTTGCCCTGAACCCAATCCATTAAAACCAGATTTCCAAACATTATTCATCTGAAAAAGTACATGTGTAGGGTGTCACAATGGTGGTATAGTGGGTAAAGCCATTGCCTGCAACGCTGACATCCCGTACAGGAGCTGGTTCATGTCCTGGCTGCTCCACTTCTGACCCTCCTTCCTAACTCAAGATATTTATCATTTATTTACCTCATCAACCGAGTCCAAATAAAACAGTAAGTTATTGTCCTAGCGATTCTCCTTCCTGATCCAACCCCTGCTTTATATTCTCCATGATCTGATCTTGAAGACAACTTATAATTCCACTCTACCCTCCAGTCTTCCACACCGCCATTGGATGATGCACCCCAAACCTCACATCAAGGTGCTCCAGGATGCCACGGAAGTTCCTGGCAATATGAATAAGGAAATCTGCGATACACCTAACATCTGCTACCTCCTGTGACCATTAGCTCAAGGTGGCTCTGTTGAACAGAGTGCTACATCCCATTCAATGATGTTCTATCTTTGCAAAGCTGGAATCACAGGCAAGTCAATGAGGAGAACAGAGAACAAAGCATGAAGGAAAAAGAGACTTTTTTGTTCAATTTATGTGTTCCAAACTCTAACACAGAAAGGCAGACCATTGATTAAAGACATATCTGTTAAAGTTAGCATTTTACCTCAGTTTTTATGGCTTCTCCTTTGGTCTTTTCCTTTGAGCCAAATGTTGGCATTTCCTTTGTATGGCCATCAGGAATATAAATCAAAATGCATGGGGCTTCTTTGCAACTGTATGGGCTAAAGAAAATGCAGGAACAAAAAGTTAACTTGAACAAAATTACCTGAATTGCAATTGAAACTGGGTTCTGAGAAAAACTCAAGAACACTTAGTATCATTTCAAAGTACAAATAAGTAGTCCACAATGAATATTCAAAACAGAGGTTCTTTAGCTCGGTCTCATAATAAACTTTCAGTTTATGAATATTCAAAGACATGGCCAATTAAATCTCAAAGCAAAATCAATTGTTGTTGCCTGCCACCAGAAACAGCGGCTGTTAATAGTATCACTCTTGATTAAAGTAAAAACACCCGCATGGCACATTAAATCTACTTAAAAGTAGAATAATTTCTCCAAATTATTTCTAAGAATTTCTCAACTTAGGGCTGGCGTCGTAGTGCAGCAACTTAGGCCAATGCCTGCAACACTGGCACCAGTTAAAGCCCCAGAAGCTCCAATTCCAATTCAGCTCCCTGTTAATGTGCTTGGGAAGGTAGCAGAGGATACACCGTGTCCTCGGGCCCGTGTATCCATATGAAAAACCCATGTGGGTAATTCTGGCTTCTATCTTCAGCCTGGTCCAGTCCCAGCCATTGTGGTCATTTGGGAAGTAACCAGCGAATAGAAGATTTCTCTTTCTCTAACTCTGCCTTTTAAATAAATAAATCACACACACATTTCTCAATTCTGCAGGGTACAACAATTAGCAGTAATTATGCTTGTGAGATCAAATGTAAAAGACTTCTGTGACTATTATAGTTCAAGTCATGAAGTAAAAACATGTCAGAAAAAATTTAGTGACAGTAAGATCCTATCTATCCGGTTTTTGTTGTTTTTTTTTTTTTAGATTTACCTGTTTTTCATAAAGTCAAAATAACACAGTGGGGAAAGCAGATAGGTCTTCCATCTGCTGATTCATTCTGCAAATGACTGTGCCAATTCAAAGCGAGGAATTCCACCTGGGTCTCCCTGTTGGTGGCACAGACTGAACCAGCCTTCATCCACTACCTCTCAGGAATACTACTACTAAGCTGAAATGGAAGACTGAAGCTGGGGCTCAAGCCAGATGCTCGGATTTGAGATGAAGACATCCCAAATGGTGGCTTAGTGTGCTGCACAACACCTACCTTCTCTTTTAATATTTCTTAAAATAGCTTTTTTGAGGCAATTTATACCCCACACAAATCAATGGCTAGATACAGACTTGCAACCATCACCACTACACAACACTTGCAAGGGAGTCAATGCACACTACCGCTACTTCAAGGATAGTTCTCATTAAATTACTTAGGCCTGAAATATTAAATACAGAACAAATCAAACTGAGCAACAGAATTTTAGTCAAAGTGCTGACATTCCAACATGTTACTCAATGTGAGAACTTGAAGTACTTTCAAGAAGATGCTCATTTGTGTTTACCTACCTTACAGGTTCGTAAGGCTGGTCACAGATGAAGAACCCTCTTCTCTGGAGCTGTATAATGTCTCCTTTTTTCAGATCCTTAAGGCAGGGGTCACCTAGCATTAGTTCTTCACGCTGTAAAGATGACATCTGGTCAAAATACACTTTGGCAAAAACTAAAATCACTCTAAAATCCAGTTTTCCAGAAGCTGGAATATCTTCGTTTGAAACAAGTTTGTGAAAAAGTTTACTACTTGTTGAGCACACTGTAAAACAGAGCAGCACTAAAGTAAATGACAACTCAATCTGTCACATTTTTGGAAGTCAACTTTTATAAACTGACAGGCTTTTGGAAGTCTTAAATAATGTAAATAAGGTCTCTGTAAAAAACAAAACCAAAAAAAAAAAAACCAAAAACAAAAAAACACAAAAAAAACCTTTTCCCAACATATACATGAATTGCATCCAAGAAGCACGTCATGGACGTGGCTGATGGCATGCTAACTTAGAGCTTGAGTGCAAAGCACTGCAGGGTCAGGATGTCTGGGTTTGAAACTCAGCTCTATTAGTCACCATTGGTGCTCAGCCAAGTTAATCAACCCCTCTTGGCTGTCATCTGAAGTGAGCCATTATTTTTAAACATCTTTTTATTTATAGAAAACTCTACACATTTCTATTTTATTATTAAAAAATGCAAATTAGTTATGAAAGTTCTAAATCCGTTTCTGTAACAGGACAGAGCGAAGCGGGGTTTCTTGCGGAAGCCTACCTTACTGTCCTTGTTGACATACTGCTTGAAGTCTTCATCTTTTCCGAGCACCGGCTTTGTGATCAAGTGCTCGTAGGTGACACAGATTGCCGGGACGGGAAGCGCATGTGCAGTCTCTGCAAGCCAAGTGATCTTAGTGGTTTTCTTGTAGTCCTTGTTCTCCAAATTCAATTTTGCATCAAGAGATAGAATTTTTCCATCTGCATTTCTAGAAAAGTTGAAAAGTATTTAAGAAAAATATAACACACTTGCCATCAATGTAAAACAACTTATTATAATATATGAAGAAGAGGTTTTTTTTTCTTTGAAGATTTTCATTTAGTGGAGCTTACAATATGTGCTAGAAGTGTATATAAAGCAATCTGTGTTATCAAGTTACTAATGATATACTGAAAAAAATCTACACACATCTGATGAAAAACATGAATGCATTATGATTTAGTCACCTCCACTAAGCACTAGAAAATGTGAAATGTGGTATTTAAAAATATCTAGGGCCCAGCACGGTAGTAGTCTGGCTAAGGTCCTCCTCTTGCACGCGTCAAGATCCTATTTGGGTGCCGGTTCTAACCTCAGCGGCCCCATTCCCATCCGGCTCCCTGCTTGTGGCCTGGGAAAGCAGCAAAGGACGGCCCAAAGCCTTGGGACCCTGCATCCAATGAGGGAGACCCAGAAGAGGCTCTGGGCTCCTGGCTTCGGATTGGCTGAGCTCTAGTCATTTCAATCATAAAAGATCTTCCTGTCTGTCTGTCCCCTTTTCTGTATGTCTGACTTTCCAATAAAAATAAATAAATCTTTTTAAAAAAAATCTAACAATTACTTGCAATCATATAAAGCCTGAATAAGTAAAATTTCAACTTACAAAGATTAATCTCAAGTATGTTATATGTCACATATATTTAGGAAATTAAAGTGTAGCACACTCTATTAACTAGAAAGCCAAATTCATCATTTATTTGTTTGTTTTGTAACCAGTCAATTTTAATTAACCAATCAGCTTTAGGGTAAAGATTAAGTTGGATTTATATTTACACAAATCCTATCCAAAGGATTCTTCCACCAGGACAACTGTCTAATAAAAAAATCAAGTGATAAACAGGGGTGCCAAAGCATCAGAACCATCTTTGACACCTGCATGTGGTAGTTTTCTAAGCCAGACACAGCTTGAGAGCCTATTAGTAAACGGGAACAGACACAGAAAAAAGTTAATTTGTGTCCAGAATTTGTAGTATGTATGTCTAAGCAAATTTACTGGACAGCAGCAATAACAGTTCTGAATTAAATAATGTTTAGTAAGGAAAAAACTAAATAGATACAAAAGACTTTTCTTTCAAGTTGATTGGAAAACCAAAGAATTCTCACTTGTGTATCTTGGTGATGTTGATGTTGCCCCAGTTGATAAACGTAACCATCTCCCCCTCAGACAGGGTCTCTGCATCAGCACCTTCGATGAGAATTTGGGGGCTGTACCACACAGGCTTCAAGCCCACATCTGGATTCTGGTGAGAGAAAAGAAGACAGGAGTGTTGGCTGGACCCTGTACGCAAATCTACTCCTTCATCCTTTCAGCAAATAAAAGCTGGCTATGTTATCACACCATTAACGATTCCGTGGTGCATTACGAAGAAAACGTTGTGCTTTCCTCCATTATTTTATTGCAAATATTTTCTGAATTCTTAGCATTTAAACAGTGCACACGTGTTATAAAACCAGGGGCACTGGTCTCAGAGTAGAAATCACTAGCTTGAACCCCAGCTCTGTGACAACCTTAGCAGTGTTAATAAGGTAGCCTGCTCAAGAAGACACCTAGATTAGAACTGATTTTGAGGTTAAAATCACATGACTTATGATTTATTATCCTTTAAGCCGGATAATCTGCTTTGCTATCAGAATCTCGGTTTCAGAAAAGAGAAAGAAACACCATTTTACAAGGAACAACAGATACCACCTTGGCAGGAAGCCAGAGCCCTTTCTTAAGGACCCCACAAGTGTGTAAATAAGATAATGTTTCTGTCTTCAGAGGGTATAGCATATGACAAAAAAATTTAAAAAGAAGAAAGAGGGAATAAAAAGAATGCAATTTTTGTTAAATTTCAGTTTTCTTTGAAAAAGTACAATTAGATCCTAGAAAATAATTGCTAAATGGTAGGTGTTAACAGCTTCTCAATGAATGTGAAAAGACATTTAAGAAAAATCACTGTCTCATAAATAGTCACAGAAAATAACACTGGTGTAAAACTTCATGAGGGAAAAAAATTAACAACACATCAAAATCAGTAATCTAGCAGCTGGTACACAGGATAGCAGGTTCATGTTTTGCTTGTTCCATTTCAGAGCCAGCTCCTTGTTAATGACCCAGCACAGTAGTGCAACACGTCCCAGGTGTTTGGGGGCCTAACACTCACATGGAGACCGAGATGAAGCTCCTGGGTCCTAGCTTCAGCGTGGCCCTGCACTGGCTGTTACACCCATCTGGGAATGAACAAGTGGATGAAAGACCTTTTTCTCTGTCTCTCCCCCTATCTCTCCAACTCCAGCACATCAATATGTAAATCTTAACACAAAAGATAAAAACTCAGTAATCCAGTCACAATCTGAAAGTGTGCTTCCCGGAGCAGACATTCAGTGCTGTGCCTAAGACATCTGCACCCCACGCTGGAGAGGGCACAGCCCAGTCCTGGCTCTGCTCCCAACTCCGGCTTCCTGCTAACGCACATTCTGAGAGGCAGCCGGTCCTTGCTCGAGTATCTGTGTCCCTGCCACCAGTGGGAGATGTGGGCTGGTTCCTGGTCTTCCCTTCCCAAGCTCTGGGCCTCTGCAGGCTTCTAGGGGAGTGAATCGGCTCCAACTTCTGCCTATCTCACAAATAAATACATTTCAGATTCCTCCTAACCAATTATACCTTGCTTTATAACAGGCAGCATTGAGTAATTAAATTTAAGCTGTCTGGCCACAACTGTCATTTTTACAAATACATATTCCTGAAAGTTTCATTGTCCACATTTAAATCTCAAAATATTCAAGAAGTTTTTGTTTGTTTTAATTGCAAAGTCAGATATACAGAGAGGAGGAAAGACAGAGAGGAAGATCTTCCATCCGATGATTCACTCCCCAAGTGACCACAGAGGCTGATCCGAAGTCAGGAGACAGGAGCCAGGAACCTCTTCTGGGTCTCCCATGCGGGTGCAGGGTCCCAAGGATTTGGGCTGTCCTTGACTGCTTTCCCAGGCCACAGGCAGGGAGCTGGATGAGAAGTGGAGCTGCTGGGATGAGAACTGGTGCCCATTTGGGATCCCGGCGTGTGCAAAGAGAGGACTTTAACCACTATGCTATCGCGCCAGGCCCAGGAAGTTTTAAATTTATTACATCTATCTGTAGCACATGTCAGATTCCCTTACCTACATGATAAATCAAGCAATCAATTTAAGTTATTGGAAAACCCAAAGCAATGGATTATTCAGACGCCTACACAAATATATATTTATATTCCATATCCTACTTGGGCTAAAGTCTTTATGTAAAAGTAAAACATCAGATCATGTCACACATAAATATAATCATATAAGGCTAAAATGCTGATAGTTCCTCATAAAAAATACTACCTTATATGTGAATTACTATGAACAAAATTTTTAGTATTTAACAAGTGATACACAGCTCAGAAAACAGGAATAAGAGAAACCTGTTTTTTCCTTCAAGATTCTCAACCAACAGCTGGCATTGTGGCTTAGCAGATAAAGCCACTGCCGAGGACAATGGCATCCATACGGGTGCCAGTCCATGGCCTGGTTATTCTACTTCACCTCCAGCTTCTTGTTAATGGCCTGAAAACAACAGCTAGACAGTGCAAGAGCTTGGCCCCTGCCATCCATGTGGGAAACCCAGAGCAAACTCTCAGCTCCTGGTTCTGGACTGGCCCAGCTCTGGCAACTGTCATCATCTCAGGAATCAGTTGATCGCTCACTCGCTCTCTCCTGATGTAACTGTGACTCTCAAGTAAATAAATCATTTAGAAAAAAGATTATTGGGCCCAGCGCAGTAGCCTAGTGGCTAAAGTCCTCACCTTGAATGAGCCAGGATCCCATTTGGGTGTCAGTTCGTATCCTAGCTGCTCCATTTCCCATCCAGCTCCCTGCTCGTGGCCGGGCAGAGGATGGACAAAAGCTTTGGGACCCTGCACCCATGGGGGAAACCCAGAGGCAGCTCCTGGCTCCTGACTGGTTCAGCTCAGCTCCGGCTATTGTGGTCACTTGGGGAGTAATCCAGCGGAGGGAAGATCTCTCTCTATCTCCTTCTCTCTTTAAATCTGACTTTCCAATAAAAAAAAAAATCTTTTTTTTTTAAAAGAAAATGATTCTCAACCTGTCCTGAGTACCCAGGTGATGACCACAGCTTAACCAAAAGAAACTCTCTCTGCTACCACATTTAATGTTTATACTCAGAATTTAGATGGCCAGACACCATTTTCACTTAACTGATAACTTTTCAAAACATCAGAAATGGCAGTATAACAGCCTCTTAAGTTAGCTTCTGATTCAGTATTAGAATCTAGCTTTGATTTAAAGCTAAAGCTAAACAATCTGGTTAACAGAGAATGCATCTCATCTTCCATACAAACTGAGTCTAGTGCCCTAGCCGCTCAGAGGGACTGCAGGAGGCAGACAGGCTCACTCCACGCTCCGTCTCCATCGCCCGAGCGTTCCCACTGTCTAACAGTGTGCGGTGGATTATTACTAGAACAAATTTCTTCAGCTGCAAATACTGCAACTGACATCAAACCCTGACAGATAACGTTGCCTAGGAAATGATCCCCATGTCACATTATTTCCAAAAACGCACAGTTTCCCCTTATTATCTTGCTTTTTCTTTGGACAGAATACTGGTGAAACTCTAGGGTAACCTTTGGGTGCTTGGCAACTTCTTTCATCTCCTCCCGAGCCTCAGGGACATTCACTGGGACCACCTCTTTTTTCAATAATGCAACATATCGTGGAGCCACAGGGTCGATAACCTGCAACAGAGAAATTTTTGTGTTAAACACTACACTTTTCTTTAAAAAAAAATCATAAATAAGTAACACAGGAATACTAACTGGTTTTTGTTGTTACTGCATTTACTAATTGTTTTGGCTTATCTGTTAGCTCGGATATTTTGCTCTTAGAGAATTAGAGAAAAAGGTGATCTAAGCACAGACTACAAAAAGGATCAGACTTCGTTTTCAAGATGAACTACTGGGAGCTAAAAGAAATCAATTAAAGTATAATAGAGATATTTTGGAAAATACTTTTTAATCAGGTATTAGAAGGTGAGGAAAAGTTACACTTTGGGATTATAATTAATCTTACAAGTAATGATATATTCAGTTTTGTACTGTTGAAGAAATGTGTTCAGGGACTAGAGATATTTATATTTCAATATAACCCATGTTAGGCAGCTTACCTCTATGAAAAGCAGAATGGCATTAGGTCACTATAATAAGGCAAGTCTAAAGATTAAAAGTATAAACAAGGTATTTCTATTGGGTTATATGGACCAAATATAGAAAGCATGATATTCTTGGAATTTAGAAAGAGACTGGCACATATAGGTAATCAGAAAATATATGCAGACTGAATTAATCCATTATTTTTTTTTTCAAAAAAATTTTTCTTTTGAAAAGCAGATTTACAGACACCAAGAGAGACAAAGAAAGATCTTCCATCCACTGGTTCATTCCCTAAATAGTCACAATGGCCAGAGCTGAGCCGATTTGAAGCCAGGACCCAGGAGCTTCTTCTGGGTCTCCTAAGCAGGTTCAGGGTCCCAAGGCCTTGGGCCATCCTCTACTGCTTTCCCAGGCCACAATCAGGGAACTGAATGGAAAGTAGAGCAGCCAGGACACAAACTGGTTCCCAAATGTGATCCTGGAGTGTACAAGGCGAGGATTTAGCAGCAGGGCCATTGCACTGCGCCCTCGTTATCTATTAACCTAGTTTACCTACAAATCATAGCAACATTCCCTTCTGGGCTGATATATTATTTCCTACTCCAGTGTTTAAAACTATCCATGGCAATCAGTGAAAAGTGTGGTTTTCATCCTGCTTAAAGCATGCAGAAGAAAAACCACAGGTAGTAACACATGTGTGTTAGTGGTAGAAGATATTTTTTCCCACGGCATTGGCCAGGTAGAGGTGGCTGTCTTTGTCTTACTCTGTGTGTTTTGTTATTACCATTGTTGAGCTGGGTTCTTTACTTACTTTGAAGAAATGACTCTCAGAGGGTCACTGTGCAAAGTTTGGAAAACTACCTTCCCTTATCTGCTACTCCTGTTCTGCTTCTATTTCAGGTCAGTACAAAGAGAAGGCAAGCCTCTCTCTAAACTGAATGCTCCACTTTTTCCTTTGCTTAAAGATCATTCTTACCAGTAAAGGTTCCTTCTTTCAGAATCTATTAGGCTGCAATAATCAGATTTAATTTCCCATTACTCAGTTCAATATTTAAACCAGTGATAAAATTTATTTAAAGATGCTAAAAGAGGGGCTGGCGCGGTAGCCTGCTGGCTAAAACCCTCGCCTTGCAAGTGCTGGGATCCCATATGGGCACCAACCAGTACTAATCCCAGCAGCCCCGCTTCCCAACCAGTTCCTGCTTGTGGCATGGGACAGCAGTTAAGAATGGCCCAAAGCCTCGGGAACTGCACCCACATGGGAGACCCAGAAGAGGCTCTGGGCCTTTTCCTCTCTGTCTCTTCCTCTCTGTATATCTGACTTTCCAATTTAAAAAATTAATTTAAAAAAATGTTTAAAAAGATACTGAAAGAAGGCAGTCTTCCCGGAGATACTTACTTCAGTTCACTGCAGCTCTACAGACTGTTTGCCAATGGTAACTAAGTAGAACAAAGATTTTGGGAAAACTGGGGCTGGCATTGTACATAATGGGGAAACTGCCACCTGTTGCACCAGTATGCTACATGGCCACCAGGGAGAGTCCTAGCTGCCCTACCTGCAGTCCAGTTCCCTGCTAAGCACAGGGAAAGCAGCAGCAGATGGCCCAAGGACTTGGGTACCTGCATTCACATGGAAGACTGAAGAAACTGGGCTCCTGGCTTTGGGCCAGACCAAGGCCAGCCACTGCAGAGTGCTCCTCTTGCTATCTGAGGAGTGAACCAGCAGATGAAGATTTTTCATTCTTACCCTCTCTGCCCTCTACTTTGCCTTTCAAATAAGTAAACAATTAAAAAGCAAAACAAAAACAAAAAGCAAACCAACCTTGGGCAAACCAAAACACAGATTCTAAGTGTACTTAACCTAGTGAATTATGATTCTAATGATCTAAAGCCCAGTCTAGAAATCTATTCTTTGCAAACACTTCATAGTACGTGGAGGATCAGACCACTTTAACAAACCTTGTAGAAAAAAAATCTTAAACTCCTTTCAGTTCTAAATTTATACAAATCTTAAAATCTCTAGGGCCCAGTATGGTAGCCTAGCAGCTAAAGTCCTTCCCTTGCACATGCCAGGATCCCATTTGGGCACCTGTTCATACCCCAGCTGCTCTCCTTCCCTTCCAGCTCCCTGCTTGTGGTCTGGGAGTGCAGTCAAGGATGGTCCAAGGTCTTGGAACCCTGTACCTGCATGGGAGACCTGGAAGAAGCTCCTGTCTCCTGGCTAGGGATCAGCTCAGTCCCAACCTTTGTGGCCACTTGAGGAGAGAATCAGTGGATGGAAGATCTTTTTCTCTATCTTTACTTCTCTCTGTAAATCTGCCTTTCCAATAAACATAAGTAAATCTTTTTTAAAAAATAAAAGTCTCTGGATAGATGGCTAATTACTCCAAAAGCTTCCAAGGGATTTCCAAGAGGTGAAGTAGTGGACATGGTATGAAGAAAAAAGGAATAAGATTAAACAATAGCAGACTTCTAGACCCTCGTAACATACTGAAACTGAACAAATATATGACAGTCTTGTTTAATGGAACTTACTATAAAGTTTTCAGTGGAAGACTCGCTATTTGAGGTGAGGAAAAAGTCTCTCTCTCTCTTTTTTTAAACTAGCTGGGGGAAGATACAAGGGAGCTAGAGTGATAACAAGGGAGTACTATATCCTGACTATTGAAATACCAGCATAAATTTTAAAGTTAAAGCAGCAAAATAAAAATTGATGGAGACAAATAACAGTTCAGAAATTAACACCTTAATGCTTTGACACTTCTGTCTTGCCTGAAAAGTTTAAATCTTTACACGAAAGTAAAATCAAGAAGAAAATTAGCGAGGTTAATGCAATTAAGTCCTAGAAATGTCTAATACGATCAAAGGAAATTATTGTCGCTAATGTAACTAGATATAACTGATACAGAAAAGGTTTCTAGCCAGGTTAAAGAATCAGGCTAAGAAAAATGTCATGATATTTTTAGAGAAACCCGGAGATTACTGACCAAGTGAGAGCCCTGGAAGGAGTTCTTGGCTCCTGGCTTCTGCCTGGCCATTACAGACAGCTGGGAAGTGAACCCAAGGATGGAAAATTCATGCCTCCTTCTCTCTATAATTCGACTATATAAATGATTAAATAAATTTTAAAACACACACACACATGAAATAGGACTAGAAAATGTTTTGAAAATTCAGAAAACAAGAAAAGCTGTGGAAAGATAACAGCATAAATAAAAACTCAACAGAAGGAAAGGAAGTTGGGCAGCTCTACTAGAAAGCAGAGACAAAGGACAAGATGGAATACAGAAGGGAAAATAAAGTTAGAGCACCATCCCAGGAAGCCCAGCATCTACACAGAAAGCAGTCCTGAAGAAAAGCGAAGTACAAAAACATGAAGAAATAGAATGAAATCAAGCAACTTTCCAGAGCCCAAGAGACCCTATCTTTCCAATGGAGATCTAACTCCAATGCACATCATCTTCAAGTTTCAATGTAAAATAGAAATTATATACAAAAGGTCTCAAAACATTTTCAGGCCTGCTCCCCTGCTCAAGAAGCTTAAAGAAGAAACAGTACAGCAAAGCAACAAGGTAATAAAAAAGGAAGCAGATGATCAACGTTCTAGAATAAGCTCTAGGTCCACAGTGGGCCTCAGGAGCTAATCCGGCACAATCTGGGTCAAATGGGGGAAAAGGCTCCAGCAGAGGAGGTGAAGGAACACTTGAGGCATCTAACATTTTGGCAGACAACTGAGACAACTGGTTGAGAATCTAACAGAACAGCAAGCAAGCGAGGGCAAGAAAACAAAACAAAACCAATCAACTATGAGGAAACCAGCTTTGGGAAAAAATGAAATCCTACTTTTCACATTCCACATGGAAAGTCAACTGATAACACCAAAAACTAAAAAGCAAAGTATCAACACAAACATTTCCTTGAAAAATAAGAGCGAAAAACCATCAGAATTACCTAAAGCAGTGGTAAGAAGGGGAATATGCTGATCATCTTAACAGATCCTACAGAATTATTTGAATATAGTGAAATATATTTCATGTACTTGAGGAAGTGTAAATATAACTTTACTAAAACTTTCTTGAAAACCACATTGTTAATAGTATACCACAGTTAACTTCGCCTGCACATTCTACTCATATTTATTATTAGTAACTGCAGCAACACAAAGAACCAATTAATAATTCCTTATGTATCAAAAAACTAACCCAAACAACTAGATGAAATAAATGTAAGGTGCATGCAAGACAAACAACTCTTTCTTGAAGCAAGACATCAGCACAATCAAGCAGCAATCACAAAAGAGGAGTGTGCAGAGCACAGTCACAGAAACCACAGCTTGACACATGGCATGGTATTGATTTGCCTTATTATAGTGCCCAAGCATCTGCCCCCATCAGTGATTAGCAATGTTGACATGCAATCTTCCTCAGATGTTCACTTAGTAGTTTTAAAACAAAAGAAGCTGGATTCAGTAAGACTAAGGAATTACATCTAATGAACCTTCAATGCAACTCAATGAAACACGTTATTTTAAAACCCTGTCTTGCCAGCACACGGTAGAATGGATTCAGCCAAGACTTTCCTTTGCCTCTAACACAACCAGAGGACAATGGCTTTTAAAACTGGCAATAATCTGTATGACCAAGTCTTTGATAGGAATGTGATTGTGCTTCAAAGCTGGTTAACATCTTAAGTCATAACATGGAATACGCTAACAGCTATGTTTAAATAAGGCGAAGAAAAGAGGTGAGTAATACCTTCTTACAGAGAGCTCGCAGCTTGAAAGCAGAAAAATGAAATGCAGAGTGTTCATAAAAGATTTGAGGAAAAAACCATAATGCCAAGTTTGTTTCAATCATTGCTATTTGTGGGGACAGTTAACAGGCTTAATGTTCTTTATATGCTTATCAAGGGAAAACATTCCATTTTCCTGAAAATATGTGAAATGGTTAAATACATAAATTCTACTTCACAATGAGTACACTAATGAATTCCGTCAATGTGTTTGTCTGCAGTGAAGCACTAGGAAAGGGGTTGAAGGTAAAAAATGTACCTTTTTGTTAAATGCCCAGATTTTGTCCCACTCCATGTTCACAACCGACCGCGAGGAGCCCTAGAGAAACAATAAAAATGATTTTTAAAGCTACAGAAGCTGGCCATGGTTTGGAAAAAAAAACTAGCACCTAAAAAATGCTTACAGATTTACTTCCACTGATATATAAAACTGAATGTATTCAAACTAATTTGTTTACTCCCTCAACAACACATTGTAAAAGTTCAGTTCATATATTGGTATTGATGGGGTGAAAATACTTCAGCTACTTTTGTACAACTCTGGTTTAGGAGTTTAGGTCATTTTCTGTTTTATATTACTAGAAAACAGTGATAAACTTATGTTTTTGTAATATGAAAAAAAAATCTGTCCTACATCATAAGGCACAGATATGGAATAAAAGAAATAAAGACTATAAGGATATTTATGGAAATACATGAAAATTCAGCCAGAGCAGCCTTTCTCACCTGAGCAGCAATAAACTGTTTGAGTCCTTCAACTGTCATCCCCCTTCTCAGTACACCACGAACAGTAGGAAATCGTGGGTCATCCCTGGGAAATATGTAAAATTTTAAATACCACGGAGGTTTAAAAAATTTACAGATGTAGAAAGCAGAAGATACCTTCACAAATAATAAATTATACTCGGTGTGTTGAATGTCAAACTATCAGTCAGTTACACAAACTGGATATACAGCAGTAACAGTGAGAACATCATCATGGAAGAAATTGCTTTCTAGTTAATATTGCAGTAAACTAAATGAATCACCAGAAATGGTTAAAGGATGTCTGAAGAAAGATAAAACTGGGACATTTTCAAGCATGGAAAAACAACCCTTTAATACATCTTTATTTAATTCTATTTAACAATATTCAAGGTCCCTACAGAGAATCAAGCAAGACAGTATCATGCCATCTAGTTATGAATAAACACATTAAGAATATTTACAGAGTTTTTGTTTATATTCTACAGATATCTGTAAGAATCAGTAACTAATAACATCTTTTTATGAAGCCAAAGATAAACTCGTCTTTGATCAAATTTAATTCTATGGTAGAACAGTACAAAACACAAATTTTTCAACATATACATAATATATATTTTGATTAGCATCACATATTGATTAGCATCACATTCATATTAATATAAACATAATTCTTGTTAATTCAGGAAAGAATTTTTACTTATTAAAACATGCAAACTGATGTGAATGTTTTATTTACAGAGACAGATGGCCGTATAAGATCACCCCAAATTTTATATTCATCTATCATATCAAAATCCGATATAGGTTGTTAAATACTACAGAGATTTTCCAACTTTTTCTTGGGTTCTTAATCCTCTGCCCACTATTTCACAGGTGGGTCCTCTGAGACAGACCATTTTCATCATCATTTCAGCTAACGCGTAAACTGGTCTTCCCAGACCCAGCTGAAAAGAAAAACCTCAAAAACTCAGCAGGTGTTACCAGACTCGCGGAGGCCCACTTGTCTACTAAATGCTGAGATCTGCAGAGTGTGTGTTTCCTTTCTTTCATGCCCACGTGCCACGGTCCACAATGGACACCCCATGTTTTGCAGGATCAAAACAAGAAGGGACTCTATAGGCTGAAATGATGGTATTAAGAACCAGGAATCCTGTAGGCCTACTCAATCCGCCTCCTCCCAAACACCTTCCCGCCTATCAAGCACTTTAAAATCACTGCCAACACCACACCACGTTCTTACTTCTGCTCAATTCTAGTAACATTAAACATACCATCCATCTACCAGTCCTTCGTTGACAAACCATGTGAGCTTTCTTTTGGATAGCACTGTGTTGTTGAGATTGAGCCGGCTATATTCCCATATATACGGCTTCCTTATGCCTAAGGCTTCAATAATCCAGTAAAACTGCTCATCTCTGTCATGGTATTCTGTTGTTCTCAATGCATGTGTAACACCTTCAATGCTGTCAACTATGGGGCAGGCGAAATCATATGTTGGATAAACACTAGAAAAAGAGAAGTTTTTGATTTTTTTTTTTTTTTGCAAATCAACATGAAACATTTAGCTCTATCTTGAACATTATAAGCAACAATACCTTTATAGGGACAGAGAGAGACAGACAAAATCCATGTGTTGGTTTACTTCTCATATGTCTCAGTAGTGAGAGAATCAGGAGTAGAGGACATATTTATTAACCTGAAAACTCAAAATTACATGCCCCTTTCTTTATTATTTATTTATCTTCATAAATTTTCATTCCATCAGTTTTATGCATTAACTTATGCCCAGGAGAATAAAAATTTACCACAGGAAGAGAGGTATCATCTAAAGGAACACACCATAAGGCACTTAAATAAACATATAAAAAGTACTCTTAGGCAGACTTAGGGGCTTTTTTCAGATGGAAGTGTTCTTAGAAATAGCTTACTATCACCTTCACAGGTGAATAAACAGGTTAAAAAACAAAAAACCTGAGAAGGCCAGTGCATCTATGTGAATAAAGTTTGGGGTTTCTTGACTATTCTGCACCTACTCTGTTTACAGAAAGAGTCGTAGCGTGGGCATGGGCATGAGCTACCCAGCACAGTGAAAGAGCTGCACTTACTTGTATTTACTGCCAGTTCTTGGGTGTGGCTGAATTTTGCAGCGATAAAGGGTTGGATCCCTCATGCATCCATTGTTACTATTCATGTCGATTTTTGCTCGCAAACAGCACGTCTGACCAAACTGGCTCCCTTTTTTCATTTCTTCCCACATTTGTAGATTCTTCTCAATTGCTAGAAAATGATAGGTATAATATACCTTATATAATATGTTACTAAGCTGGATGAAATCAAATCATCTTAGTAAAAACTTGGTAAAAATTCTCATGCTACTTATTGTCAGCACATTACATTAATTTAAAAAAAAACACACACACACAACTGATCCAATTTCTGACATCAGCAGCAATTGCATCATTACCAATGAAAAGAGTCTCACAATCCATTTAGCAAACACACTCTAGACCTCTATGTTAGGAAAGGCACAGACAACACATTCCAATGATGTCAAGGAGATCCCAAGGTTCTTCTCAACCCCTAAATCCATTTCTTCAATCGTGGCACAAATGGTCAGTCCTCTTCTCTCCCACATCCACACAGAACACTGTGCCTTTAAAGCACAAGCCTTCTTTTCATTTGCCTCCTCCCCCCCCGCCGCGCCCACTGTGGCCTGAGGACTAAGTGGTACGACCTAGTCCTTGGCCACAGGCGCTAGTGGGCAGCCTGTGACTCTGCAGAGGCTCCATGAAAGCCCCATCAGTCCTCCCAGTGAGAAGCAGGATTCTCCTGAATCCAGGAAAATCGGAGATGACAGAAAACAGTGAAAGCAGACAGACAACAGTTTGATCTCGGAAGAAAGGTCTCTATATCCCAAGTGACTGTGGCCCTACCAATACCGGAAGACAGAAAAATTGGTCATTGTGGTCCAAGTTTCACAGGGAAAATCGAGAAGGTAGATATTTTATTAACTATTTTTGAAACAGTACAGAAACCTATTTGTAACAATTTGAGTTTATTGTACTCAACAAATGTAATACTCAAGATTCAAGCACAGTGCAGATGTACTGGCAATACTATCACAACATGGATACAGCGCAGCCTAGAAACTCTGAAGACAAGTCACGAATCAGAAAGACACGATCATCAGTCAAGTGATGTTCCGAGATGAGAGTAGTACTGGGCTTGCATTTTCCTTTATACAACGCTAATACGAAGAATAGGTGCTAATATTATTAAACATCTTGGAAAGGTTAGGCACTCAAATATTCCAGAAAGGGATTTTTCAAACTGAATGATACATACAACAGACTACACACATGGACATGGACATTTCATATGCAGTTATAAAGGCAACAAAGTACTGAAACGGTAAGGTCCATAGAAGGGGGAAAAAGATTTCTAACCAATGAATTAATATGAGCCAGTCTCAAATGTCTCTCAAACCACTCTCTTTTGTAGAAAAGAAATCGTGTCCCACGGAAAAAAAAGAATATAAGACAGAAACACCAAAATATTCTTACAGTTTTGTCTATGTTTGGATTCTAGCCTCTGCTCACGTTCCGCTTTCATCTGCTCAGCAGGTGTATCGTCCACGTAAGCCTTGCCTTCTTGGATGAGCTTCTCGGCATATTTCATTATAGTTTCAAAATGATCTGAGGTGTAAGTAAACTGATCTGGTTTGATGTGCAACATCGCAACATCTTCCAAGATAACCTGCAGTAAGTCCAGAGTAAACACCAGAATAGTTTATGTAGTTGCAATCCTTGATACTGTATTTGAGTAAAGGTAGTAAAACACCATCAGTTTTATACAGCCTGAAAACGGTTGTGGAAGTTGTATGACCACAAATCAGAAAAGAACGCAACAGTCACTCCTTATGGCAGCCTTCTGTGTGTCCAGCCGAGAATATTCTGATCTCAGGAGTGAGCTTCCCATTTACTCTAGATGACTTGATTACTGATCATACCAATGAAAGGAAAACCTAACTCCAGGGATCAATTCATTCACAGAAATTGGTACAGGAAAATACAACAAATTTAGGTACATTGTGCTACAATTGGAGAAGACAAAATACATTTAAGCATTTGGTATGGGAGCTCAGTATTTCTTGGCTTAGGCCCCAGACACAGAATATTTAGATGAGGGAGAAAGAACAGCTATGAAAACAAAATTTACCTTCATACCATAAAGGTATCAGAATTAACTTTTCTGTAAAAGGGTCATCACTACACTTTTCATTACCTTCTCAAAATCTTCCTTCTCTTTTTCAGGATTTGTGTCATCAAATCTCATGATCAGTTTCCCTTTAAAGTTAACCTGGTAGTGCTGGTTCAGAAGAGCAGCTTTTGCATGCCCAATGTGTAAGTAACTAAAACAAAAACATTTCACAAAGAGACTTATTAACAGGTTTTAACTAAAGGCTTAACTTAACCCTCTTGTGGACAGGAGAACTAAAAAATCCTAATTGGTACTGCAATTGTACTTTATTTTCTAACAAGAAGGATTGTGACTTTAAAAAATCTAATCCTGAAACTAAGACAAAATGCTATGACATTTTTAATAAAAGTATCATAAGAAACAAATCCATACATAAAATCATCCAGGAGTGTGGGACTTATGAACATTATAAAGGTAGGCAGAATGATCTTTTTCTTTTTACCACAGCAATTGTCACTTAGCTAAAGAGCCTTGAAAACTGTTTCCAAGGCTGTACAGCAGGGTCTTTAACCAGAGCTGATGCTACCCAGAACTAACGTACAGAGAAGTGCTTCTGAGGCTGTCACTGTGCTGGCTAAAGGAGGGAACCGATGAGAGCTAGGGAGACACCAAACACTTTACTTTTTCAGTTTTACTTTGCAGGCTTTTAAAGACACCAAAATAAAAGAATTTAACTACATTATCTTGTAGGTCTCATCAAGCACTGACGTTCCAGACATGAGACCTTTCTCTACCACAATTCCCCCTTGCCTGCTCATGTCTGTCCTTTAACAATGTCAATTCTGTGACAATTTCAGTGAAAAATCATTACCCATCCTCATTATACTCTTTGTTTTGTTCCTTAGCACTTCTTAAAAAGTTTCTAAATGGTGGGGCCAGCACATTGACTCAACTGGCTAAACCTCTACCTCCAAGCTCCAGCATCCTATAATGGTGTCCTGGCTGTTCCACTTTCGAATCAGCTACCTGCTTGTGGTCTGGGAAAGCAGTAGAGAATGATCCAAAACCTTGGGACCCAGAAGAATCTTCTGGTCCTTGGGTTTGGATCAGTTTAGCTCCAGCAGTTATGGTCACTTGGGGAGTGAACCAATGGTTGAACAATATCTCTAACTCTTCTCTCTGTAAATCTGCCTTTCCGATAAAAATAAATAAATCTTTTAAAAAAAAAATCTTAAAGCATACCCAGATATTGCCAGTTACTATTGTAAAGCTGGTTTAATAAGGTTAAATTCCCAGGACCAAGAATTCTTCAGAGATAGGTAAAACAGCTAGCACCACTGCTTACATAACTGAACTTAATAGAACTCATTTTGACAAAGTTCATTTTCTTGTATGAAAGAGAGAGAGAGAGAGAGAGAGAGAGAGAGAGAGAGAGAGAGAGGCAGACAGCAGACATGTGCCTCTCAAGTCCTGGCTATTCTACTTATAATCCAGTTTCCTACTAATATGCCTAGGAGAACACAGATGATGGCTCAAGTACTCAGGCGCTTGCCATGCAGGTGGGAGGCCACGACAGCATTGCTACCTCCTGCCTGGGCCAACCCTGCCTGGTGCTGTTGCTCACTCCATTAGTGGGCTGAATCAGCCAGCGGAAGGAAGATCTCACTCTGTCATATTAATTAAATCTTGGGGCAGGGGGGAAAGGCTGAGGGTGGCATTGTGGCCCTTCAGATTGGGCAACTACTTGAGGTACTAACATAACAGTGCCAGCTCCAGTCCCAACTGCACTGCTTCCAATTCAGCTCCCTGCCAGTGCACCTGGGAAAGCAGCAAAAGACAGCCCAAGTGCTCAGGCCCCTGCTGGCCACATGGGAGATGAAGATGAAGTTCTGGGCTCCCGGCTTCAGCCTGGCCTAGTCCCAGACACCATCTCCATTTGAGAAATGAATTACTGGATAGAAAATCAGTCTTTCTCTTTCTCTCTAGTGCTGTAACTTTGCTTTCTCAGTAAATAATTAGAAAAAAAAAATGTCACCTATCATTTATAAATTAGCCTGATTGGTGTATATATAAGAAGGGCGATAAAATAAAAATACTGTCTTATCCTTATAGATTTTATTTCTGAAATAGTACTTGCAATCCTGATAATTGCAAATCCCAAGAAAGCTATCAGAAATATAAAATACTGATAGGATAAAATAAACAACTTAAATGACAACTTCTATCAGAACAGCTAAACAGAGACCAAAATCACAAACATTAAGAAAAATTAAATGTCTATGTTCCAAATCCCAAAACTGAATTAAGCCTGGAATATTGATTCTGAAATTGATACAAGTGAGAACAGATAAGCATACTTTACATATACTATGCAAACACACACTATTACTACATAATAATATAAAAGCAAGTTCAAGAAGTAGCAGCAACTAAAAATGTAAAAAGATGCAGAAAGAACAAATGTCCAAATGTTGTAACCATAAACAGCCATAGCTAAAAATTAATAAACTAGTTTTTTCTCAAACAATTAAGGTTACTGATCAGCCGTATATCCATGACATCTGACACCAAGGAAAGAATACTGGGCAGTAGGGATCCAAGCTGTAGAAAATTAAGCTGTGTAAAATATTACTTAGAACTGACTGCACTAGAAACTACTCATCAGTTAATGATCTGTGAATGTTCCAGTCATTTCTCGCTCATCTGCCTATCCTTCACTTCGCCACCTCAATCAGCAAATTTCTGGAAAAACACGAAATCCTGACTGTTTCTAAAACAGTTGTGAAGAACTATAAAAATACATAGCTAAAAGAAAATTATTTTATTGATCTACTGTTATTATCTACAGAAGGATAAGAACCGGCCTGTGATATATGAAATAAAAATTTAAACGGTAATAGAGAAAAATAATGTCATCTATAAAATACAACACAATACTTTCTTCTCCCTAGTAAAGAAAGAACTAAATAGGAATGAAGATTCTAGACTCCCCTTTATGTGAAAAAATGTTATTGCTACTTTAACTTCTGCTAACTGAAAGGAATGCTTATGCTACAAGTACACATCACATTCAAGGAAAGTCCAAAAATCAATGAGGAAACTTAACCCTTTGTACTCACGGATATTTGTCCATCCTTAAAATTTTTGTAGTGAGCATTAGCTTAGCCATTTACATGTCTGTATCTCCTACCAAGTGCAGCAGCTTAGGGGTTAAAGTCCTCACTTTGATGTGTCAGGACCCCATATGGGCGCCAGTTCTAATACCAGCAGCTCCACTTTCCATCCAGCTCCCTGCTTGTGGCCTGGGAAAGCAGTCAAGGACGGCCCAAGGCCTTGGGACCCTGCACCTGCGTGGCAGACTGGGAAGAGGCTCCTGGCTCCTGGCTTCAGATTAGCACAGCTCTGGCCATTTTGGCCACTTGGGGAGTGAACCAACTGACAGATCTTCCTCTCTGTCTCTCCTTCTCTCTGTATATCTGCCTTTCCAATAGAAATAATAAATCTTAAAAAAAGCAAAAAAAAAAAAAAATGATGTCTGTATCCCATGTCAGAGCAGCTCCGTCTTCCTGCCAAAGTAGACCCGGAAGGCAACAATGATGGTTCAAGTAATGGGTTCTTGATAGTCTGGCAGGAGAGCACAACTGATCCTGCCACTGCCATTGTGACCATTTAGGAAAGTGAGCCATAGAATGTGAGCTCTAAGACTCTCAAGGAGGACCCGGCAGCGTGGCCTACCAGCTAAAGTCCTCATCTTGCACTCACCCAGGATCCCATATGGGCGCCGGTTCTAATCCCGGCAACTCCACTTCCCATCCAGCTCCCTGCCTGTGGCCTGGGAAAGCAATCGAGGATGGCCCAAAACCTTTGGACCCTGCACCCGTGTGGGAGACCTGGAGGAAGTTCCTGGCTCCTGGCTTCGGATCACTGTACCGGCTGCTGCGCTCACTTGGGGAGTGAATCATCGGATGGAAGATCTTCCTCTCTGTCTCTCCTCCTCTGTATATCTGACTTTGTAATATAAATAAATAAGTCTTAAAAAAAAAGACTCTCAAGGAAAGAATTTTCTCAAAATCAGAATGTTGTCTCCTCTATTACATGAATCAATAAAAATATAAATAAGTTAACATGATCTATTAATAGCTAAGAAAATATTGATACTTAGTTTGTATTTTAACTTCCATGACTGAACTATTCCATATGTTCTGAATAATCAACCATTAATATTAAAATTACTTAACAGCTGGTTTAAAGTTTCCCATGAAATATATTTAATTATAAATGGGAGCTGTATCTTCTTACCCACTAGCCTCTGGAGGAAATCTGACAGTAACCTTTCCCATCTCTGCACCTGGAAGCTCAACAAATTTCCCAATGTCTTGCTTTTTCTCAGGTGCCTGGGAAACAGAACAACCACAATATCATCAAGTTATATGGTTAGATACTTAAGAATACAACCATTCAACAAATACTCAGTACCTACTATATGCTAAATATATTGGTTATGAGAAAAATCACAACTAGAGTATCATCCCTGTACTAGTAGACTTAAAACCCACTCTAGGATACAAATAAAGCCAAGTACCAGCAGTAGAGATGCTGCTACAGCACTCAGTTGAAGTTAATCAACAATATTTGAGATCACTAGGAAAAAAACAGGAGATAAGAACGAAACTGGTCCTTAAAAAAAATTAAGCTGAAATGTATCAGATAATTGAAAAGTGAGCATACAGGTTAAGGAGTAATAGGATAAGACAAAAAAGCAGGGAATATCAGTGCAATGTCCACAAAAAGCTACATAAGACGTGTGGACAAGAAAGTAGAAATATATTAGAGCCAAAAACTTGTTAAAAACTTTACTAACCCTGCCAAATGTGCAAAAGCCATTAGAGAAAGTCTGATAAGAGAAAGGGGAACTTTTCTACTGTATTCTGCTACCTCCCCGCCCTCACACTCAACAAGGAGACTCAGCTAATATCATTGAGTGGCCAAGAAGTCAAAAACCAGAGAAGTGATTCAGGGCGGAGTAGGCAGTGACATAGACTGAATAGGTATAAAGCAATGGCAGCCCATTGCATGGTACGTGGATTGTCTCAGGGATATGAATTGGAAGATGATCACCTTTTTGATATATAAAGACTACAACTTTCTGTTGGTTGAACAGCTAAAATCAAACCAGGACTTAAGAATTGCATATTTTTTCCAAGATGCTTTTAAGCTTCCTCAAGAAAATAAACTATCAATAGAAGTAATTTTCTCTTCAGATCTACAACCTCTACACAAACCCTCAAAAAATGTTTTTAAAGGAAGGTAAAAGAAAACAAGGCTTACCACTTTATTAGCCTTGTTTACGGAAACTCCCCACTTAGAGCCAACGGACTGGAAGGCTTCCTGGGCATCAAGAAAGCTGAACCAGCGTTTCACATGAACTGGAGTTTTGTTCTCTTTGAACTGTTCCTGCCATGCAGCACTGCCTGTTAATAAACATAATTTTTAAATTATTCAATAAATGTTGAAAAGTAGAGTCATAGATGATGTATGCAAACAGGATGGCTTAAAGTTGTGCTTCTCTCACAAATTTCAACAATCTGAGTACAAACTGAAATGTGTCTGAATATTTTATATACTTCACAGAACTCACCAAGGTTAACTATTAAAAATTTGTCTTTGTTCAATATATGGAAGTTCTGTAATACTCCATTGTGCTCATTCTCCCCTCCATTCCATTTCCGTTTTAACAATGCTACATTTCATAATTAAGGAAAAGCCGTAAGTAGGTCAACTGGAAAACTCAAGATGAAAGCAGCTCACGCCGTAAGAGGGAATGCTCAAAAATAGATTCTAAAGAAAAGTGTATTTAACTCCTTACCACGACAAACTATAATCTTAGGATAATTATGAGCATGTTGTTTCTTTTCTGAACATTAAGTGAAAAATCAAAATAGAGGGGCTGGCGAACAGCTCATCTGGTTAATCCTCCACACGCAAGCGCCAGCATCCCATATGGGCACCAGTACATTGGCTGTCCTACTACTCATCCAGTTCACTACACGTGACCTGGAAAAGCAGTAGAAGACAGACCAAAGCCTTGGGACCTTGCACCCATGTGGGGGACCCTGCACCCATGTGGGAACGCAGAAGAAGCTCCTAGCTCCTGGCTTTGGATGAGCTCAGTTCTGGCTGTTACAGCCAATTTGGGGAGTGAACCAACTGGTAGAGATCTTTCTGTCTCTCCATCTCTCCATACATTTGATCCACCTTTCCGATAAAAAATAAATAAATCTTTAAAAGCATAATAAAACTCAAGTTTCCCTTGTACCTCTCATCAATCTCATTTTCCTTCCTCTGTGTTATGTAATTTTTAAAAAATATAAGGGCATTATTTAGCTGCATTTCAACTATTTTCATAACTGGCCTATGATTATATAAGGAGTGTTTCAGTAAGTTTGTAGAAAATTTGACTTAAAGGATCCAGTGCAGTGGCCCAGTTGTTAAATCCTTGCCTTGTAAGTGTCAGGATCCCATAGAGGTACTGGTTTGTATTCCAGCTGTTCCTTTTCCCATCCAGCTCCCTGCTTGTGGCCTGGGAAAGCAGTAGAGGATAGCACAAAGCCTTGGGACCCTATGCTTGCATGGGAGACCCAGAAGAGGCTCTCAGTTCCAATCGGCTCAGCTCTAGCCATTGCGGCCACTTAGGGAGTGCATCAGCAGACAGATTTTCTGTCTCTCCTTCTCTCTCTAAATATGCCTTTCCAATTAATAAGTAAATCTAAAAAACAATTTTTGAATTAAAGGATATTGTGAACTCTCCACGAACTTACTGAAGCCCCTTAAAGATTAATAATACTATTCTAACTATATTAACACATCTTGAGCTTTTAATGAATCAGATGTTGACTTGATCAGAAATGCCTACCTGTGTGACTGCAAATATGTCAACTATCTAGTGTAACTGCTGATAATCCCCAATGTCTCCCATGCACACACTGTGGAAAATGAGGCAATCGCTGGTTTGTCTGGGATCACTTAAAACTACACAATAATAACCATATTTTTTCAGATTCCAATTTCCTTATGACCTTACTTTTTATACAATCTCATGTAACACAACTCTGTTATTCATCTACATATACTCTGGAGCATGTCAGTAACTAAGCTGTCTTTCTTTTACTAGCTCCAAAAGCAAGAATATAGATAAGGAAAAAAATCCCCGTGACCAGATAGGAACACAACAGCAAGGCCATTAGTCCTCTGTAAGAAAATTTCAGGTGCCTAAATAGACACACATGTAGATTCACACACAGAAACATAAAAATGCACATTTCATCCCATAAGATGTAAGAACAGAACAGCTGAGAATTACTGACCTTTCAGGGTGGCCCACACACATAAATCTGCTAAGCTCAATGAGTTTCCAACTAAGTATGTTCTCAGAGACAGGCAATGATTGAGCTCATTGACAGCGGAAGTAAACTTATCACAAGAAGACAACTTTGTGGCACTGAATTCCAACCAATGATCAACCTGCAAATAAAATACAAACAAGAAATGCACCTCGGGGTATTGACTTACAAAGACCATGACAAAAAAAAAAACCAGGCAACTAGAGCAACAATATACTCTGATTTCTCAGCTAAAATCCTGCTTTTCTTATCTCAGATTACAGAATTTTTCATTATGCAGGGTCAACTCTATTTTCCCAGGATCTAGAACCCAGCATTTAAATAAATGCCACAATGTGTTATTTTTCTGTGCTTTTTCTTTTATATGCAGGGGAATAGAGAGACACTCCAGGAAAGTGCAAGAAAAACATTAAGAGAAACTAGTCTTACAGAAGCAAAATGTAAAGCAGTAGTTATAAAGGCCAGAGAAGGGTCTGGGGGAGGAAGGATGGAGAGAGGTTAATTGAAACAAGTGGACAGGAGCAGTAACTGCCACACAGCAGGGTAGTTATAGCCAACAATTAATTAATTTAAAATGGCTAGAGAAGATTTTAAATGTTACCCAAAAACAGTATGGTAAATGTCTGAGGTAACTAATATGCCAATTAACCCAAGCCTGATCATTACACAATGATTACCTGATTCTTTTTTTCACTGTAATATATGCACTGAAATGTCACAATATAACCAAAAAATGTACAGTTATTATGTATTAGATACAAATTAAAATTAAAATTTTTAATTAAAAAATTTAAAAGTATATTTTAAAAAAATAATATCAACTTGAGAACTGGTAGCAGGAATGAGTAACCAAGGGAGAGTGCCTGAGCAAACAGATCATCTACCTTAGCAATTGAGTGCTGCAATGAGCAAGGCATTTTCTTAGAAAAGGAATCAACCTATGATATCACCCTCGGTCTATCACCTAATCAGGAGAGCACACAGGATAAGACGATCTATACGGTACTGTCTGGTTATGAGATTCTAGGATCTGGGAAGACAAAGACAGCACTAACTGCCTCAACAATACTGTGGGATTAACATTCAATTAGGAGCAACAGAGAAAAAATGTTTTCTGAAAATAAAAGCAAGATGAACATTCCCTAACTGGAGCTATAATCAATACTCCGTTAACAATCTTAAACAGAATAACACCATATAAACTAACAACACAAGGTGGTCTCTCACAAAAACAGAAGCATAAATTAAAACAAAGGAAAGCACCCAAGGACAAGTCCTTGGCTTACCTCAGTATGCTCCAGCAGGTTAGAGCCATAAAGCCCAACTCTATTTGCAACTCTAGCCATGTAGCGAAGTATGGAATTTACATCTGTGAATACAACATTTCTAGAACATAAAAATGAAACATTACTAGTGCACTAGCAAATCAGGAAGAGTCACAAAGCTGACAAAGAGATTTCAAGATGGAAATATTACATTCACTGTGTTCTTTCCAATACAATACAAATAACTTATCTGCTATCTTATTCTTTACTCGCTCAAATTCCAATCTGTTCTGAAACATTTAGCTAAATCCACCAATTCCTTTCACTTGATCTTAGCAAAAAGCTGAGAAGCAATCACCAAATTCATTTCAACGCAGACTTTTTACATCAAACTTTCTTATCCTTCCATGTATTAGTTTTGCTCTGTCGGTTCAGACAGAAAAAACATGACTGGGATACTGAATAAAAGTGATTTGAAGTACACACATGCACAGAAACCAAGACTAAACTATTGGAAATAGGAGACTTTCATAAACTTCCAGTAAAAAAAGCAGGAGCAGGGCCCGGCACGGTGACCTAGTGGCTAAAGCCCTCACCCTGCACATGCCAGGAACCCATATGGGCACTGGTTCTAATCCCGGTGGCCCAGCTTCCCATCTAGCTCCCTGCTTGTGGCCTGGGAAAGCAGTTGAGGATGGCTCAAAGCCTTGGGACCCTGCACCCAAGTAGGAAGACTGAAGAGACTCCTGGCACTTGGTTTCAGATCAGCACAGTTCCGGCCACTGCAGCAGCTTGGGGAGTGAATCATCAGATGGAAGATCTTCCTCTCTGTCTGTTCCTCTCTGTATATCTGACTTATCAATAAAAATAAAATAAATCTTAAAAAAAAAAAAGAAAGAAAGAAAAGAAAAAGCAGGAGCAAATCTTGTGGTACAGTGATTAGGTGGCCACCTTGGATGCCTGCATCTGTATCAGAGTGCCTGCTTAAGTCCTGGCTGTGCCCCACTTCCAACCCAGTTCATTGTGAATGTGCTTGGGAAGAAGCAGATGAACGCTTGAGTACATCACTACCTGCCTCCCACATGGGAGACCTTGATTCAGTTTCTGGCTCCTAGCTTTGGCCTGACACAGCCCTGGCTTTTATGACCATTTAGGGAGTGGACCAACGGATGGGTGTGATATGCTCATTCTGATTCTATTCGTTGTGTCACTCTTTTAATAAATAAATCTAAAAACAACAACAAAAGAACCTGGAAGCAGATCCAACTCCTCCATCAAAGCCCTGTCAACAGTGGACATGGTAGTTAAGGTTCGGTCTAGTATCTAAGATGCCAGGTAGGATACCTGCTGTCACAAATCACAATACTTGGGTTCCATATCAGGTTGTGGCTCTAACTCCAGTCTTGCTAATGTAAACCCTGGGAGGTAACATGACAGCCCAGGCACCTGGGTTCTTGCTACCAACTTGGGAGACAGAGATGGAGTTTCTGGCTCCTGCCCCAGCCACAGATATTGTGGCAACTTGGGGAGTGAAAGGACAGATGGAACAGCTCTCTATATATCGAGAGGAAACACCATTACACCATTACACTATTACTCTGCTTAACAGAGCTAATCCTACAGATTTCTTCTCTAAAACAGAAGAGCTCTGATTGGGGAAATCCAGTAGAGTCGAGGTGCCACCAGACTGAAAACAGAGATGATAAACAAACTGTTCAGTCAGCTCGTGTTAGAGTGAAGCTCAGGGCTGACGAGATTAACCCGAGTTCAGAATGCCTAGCAGCTTTAAGCTCCCACTCTAAAGCCAAGCAAACTATCATGCATTACCAGATATGTGAAGAAAGTCAGCGATTAAAATAAATACACATTGGATAAATCTAGGAAAATAGTTAAGAATATAAATTTCTTCCTAACAATGAAATAAAATAAAGCAACAACAAAACAATAGGATATTTAGAATAAGTATTTAGAAAGGGCTATTCAGAAAGTAAAATGCAGAGTTTGTATATATAAAAACATAACAGGCCCCAGTGGCGTGGCTTAGCAGCTAAAGTCCTCTCCTTGAACACACCAAAATTCCATGTGGACGCTGGTTCTAATCCCGGCAGCTCCTCTTCCCATCCAGCACCCTGCTTGCGGCCTGGGAAAGCAGTTGAGGACGGCCCAAGGCTTTGGGTTCCTGCGCCCGTGTGGGATACACAGAAGAAGTTCCTGGATCCTGGCTTCGGATCGGCATAGCATCGTTGTTGTGCTCCCTTGGGGAGTGAATCATCGCACGGAAGATCTTCCTCTCTGTCTCTCTTCCTCTCTGTATATCTGACTTTCCAATAAATAAATAAATCTTAAAAAAAAAAAACACACAACAGCAAGGGTGAGCTTCTGACACAGCCGCGGAGACGCTGCCTGCGACCTCACAGCCCATATCAGCGTCCTTGGGTCAGGTTCCACATTCCCTCCCAATTCCAGCTTTCTGACAATGCACAGCCTGGAAGCAGTGACCTGGGGTCCTGACATACCTACTCAAAACCCACATGGGGTTCCCTGCTTTCAGGTTCAGCCTGGACTGGTCCTGGCTGTCGCAGGAATTTGGGAATGAACCAGTGGATAAAAGCTATCTCTTTCATTTTTCTGTCTCTGTGCCTCTCCTATCCAAACAAATATGTAACTAAAAATCTAGAAAAAAGTACTGTGAAATAATGATAAAGTTGAGAAACTCTCCAAAAATTGAAGACAAAAATAGATGGGAAATAGAGGTAACAATTTAAGAAAAACAAAAAGATTAATTTCAACATCTACAAAAAAGAACCAAAAGATGGGTGAAAATATTTCCATTTAAGGAAAAAAATTGAATTTCCACCATAAGAATGTACAAGTTTCTACAGTGAAAGGAATAATAAAAATACCTAAAACAGAAAATAGACCCAAGGCAAATCATATTATTGAGAAAATTTCAAAATATTAAATCCTAATCTTCCTAGCCATACTGAGATGATCAGGAAATAAGAGAATGTGGGGACCCGGAGCGACAGCGTAATGGTTAAGGTCCTCGCCTTGAACGCACCGGGATCCCACATGGGCACCAGTTCTAATCCCGGCAGCTCCTCTTGCCATCCGGCTCCGTGCTTGTGGCCTGGGAAAGCAGCTGAGGACTGCCCAAAGCCTTGGGACCCTGCACCCATGTGGGAGACACAGAAAGAAGTTCCTGGCTCCTGGCTTCAGATCTACGCAGCACCAGCCGTTGCAGCGATCTGAGGGAAGCTCTTCCTCTCTGTCTCTCCTCCTCTCTGTACAACTGCCTTTCCAATAAATAAATAAATAAATAAATCTTTTTAAAAATTAGTACTGTAAATCATTTTTCTACAGGAGGACAAAAAGTTCTACATGAAAAGCAATTAGCAGTACGTGGCTCACAGTGAATAAAACTTACATGATTAGTATATCAAAAATCAGTGGTGATCACACCAAAATTATAAAAAGGATGGTGATGGCTGACTGGTAGGTTATGAAGGGACAGAGGGTTTTTATTGTGGTTGTTTTTCAATTTGAGAGAGAAAGAATGAGAGGCAAGAAAGAAAACTCATCTACCAGGCAATCCACAATGCCTGGAAGAAAGCTGAGAAACAGGGGCCTCCCCACCTTCGCTGCACTGCTGCTTGACAGGCTCCATGTTAGCAGACAGCTGCAGCCACGAGTCAGAGCTAGAAATAAACCCTCGTCCCTGACAGGAGACTCTGGCACCATCAGCAGATTTCAGCCACCAGGCCTAAACACCTGCCTTGACTTCTGCTCAGGTCTGGGTTTTTGTTTTTATCATCTACTTGACAGGTAGAACAACAGAGAGAGGAAGTCTTCCACTTATGGCACATTGCCCAAACGTCCACAACAACTGGGACCGGGCTGGGCCAAAGCCAGGAGCTGGAACACTGTAAGTCTCCCCATGGGTGACAGACTCCAGTGCCTGAGCCAGCACATACCCCCTCCCACTATGCACCAATCGGGAGCTCGAGCGTAAGCAGAGAAGCTAGGACCTGAGCTGGCTCTCCGATTTGGAATGCAGGCTTCCCAACTGCTCTACCTACTGTGACATAACACCTACCCCAAACTGTGTTTTATAAAAGAAACCTATAAAAATAAGTCCCTAAAAAGGGTATATGCATACATATCCTTAATTCTAAAACAACATTTCTCAGTGAAAAACATAACTTGGCTGGGCATCGTGGCGCAGCACATAACCATTGCTTAGGAAGCCTGCGTCCCAGTCCAAGCCCTGGATACTCTGCTGTGGATCCAGCTTCCTGTTAACTCACCCGAGAGGGCACAGACAACGGCTCAACGGCTCAGGACATCAAGACAAGGCTCCTGGCTCCTGGGTTCAGCCTGGAGCAGCCCTAGCTCTTGTGAGCACTTGGGCAGATGAACCAGTACACAGAAGATCTCAGTCCCTCCCTGCTGTTCTATCTTTCAGCTAGAAGACAATAAGCATTTTTTCAAAAATTGTACATTTCTAACATATATTTCCATGAGGTTATTAATTATGCATGTTTATCTCCTTTTTTTTAAAAAAAAAAAAGATTTATTTATTTTTATTGGAAAGTCAGATATACAGAGAAGAGGAGAGAAATAGAAGATCTCCCAACAGTTGATTCACTGCCCATGTGGTCGCGGCAGCCAGCGCTGTGCTGAACAGAAGTCAGCAGCCAGGAGCCTCCTCAAGGTCTCCCACACAGGTACAGGGTTCCAAGGCTTTGGGCTGTCCTCAACTGCTTCCCCAGGCCACAGACAGGGAACTAGATGGGAAGTGGAGCTGCCGGGATTAGAACCAGTGCCCACCTGAGATCCTGGTGCATGCAAGGTGAGGACTTTAGCTGCTAAATTCCCGCGCTTGGGCCCATGTCCTTTTTTTTTCTTACTGTGCATGTATTTCTGAGGTAGAACACAGTGATTTCTCATCTTTTCATTCACTTCTGCAAGGTCTGCAATAGCCAAGGCTGGGTAGGAGCCAAAACGGGGAGGCAAGAACTCGATTCAGGCACACCGCGAGGGTGCCGGCAACCCCAGACGTCCTCACCACTGCTTCCAGGGTCTGCATGAGCAGCAAGGGGAGGCGGGAACCACAGTGAGGCAGCCAGCCCAGGCACTCCACCGAGGGAAGCCAAGTGTCTTAACCGCTGTACCAAATGCCCACCACCAAAATCCTGCTTTTTATATAAAAAAAAAAAAATCTACCATTAAAATTTCCTCAGAAGTGTTTTTCCCATATATAAGATTCTATGCTGTGGACTTAGCATATGTATTTCCTACTTTTGTTGATTCTAACAAGGTGGAGGAACCCACCATGGGGGGAAGGCACGGGGAAGGGTTGGGGGAATCCCAGAGCCTATGAAACTGTGTCACAAAACGAAATGTAATCAATAAAAAACAATAACTATGACAGTGACACTTTGAAGCCTTGTTTATTAATCTGTACATGTGCAGCTCCTTTTAAACGCATTAGGATGGGAATATTTGATGGGAAATATGGATCTCTGGGCTCCCATTCTTTCAGAATGATGAAGAAAATCATACTTCCTTCTAAGGACAATCTATCTAATTAGCGTGTAATACAGGCACACAACATTTAATGCGAGTATTTTTTAAATGAGGTCTGATACAACACAAAGCCGTAAAAGCACTTACTCAGAAACACGAAGAATATTCTCTTTCCCTTCTTCAACAGAAATACTGACGTCACCTTTCAAGTGTTCCACTGCCAGCAAAGCTCCTATAAATGACAGGATGAAAAGAATTATTTCTCTTTAGAAGCAATTTACTATTTACAACCTGAATCATAAAGCAATGAGGATGAATCAACAAAACTGTTATAAGTTCTACAAGGAGTAAACTTTTCCCCCAGGACCCTGCAAACATAAAATCTGTTCTGTTTTAGACAAGTAACAAATTAAAACCCATTCATTAGAATAGTTCAAATGTTTTTGAATATGTTCAATTTCAGTTAATAAAACTAAAGCTTATCTTTTCCTCCCCTCCAGTTTATAAACTAGTATAGAGATTTTCATTAACATGCACAGTATTTAAGTGATATGACAGATACTATGATCGGTGTTTCACAGATTTCATTTTCTCATTTGTTTTCTGACTTGAAAGGCAGAGGGACAGAGACCTGCCATCTGCTGATTCACTTCCAGAACGCCTATTAACAGCTGAGGCAGGGCAAGGCCGAAGTCAGCAGCCAGTAACCCCATTTGAGTCTCTCGTGTGGGAAGCAGGAACCTAAGTACCTGGTTACAACTCAATAAAAACAACCTTAAGTAAAATTAGAGCTTTAACAACAAAGTTGAAACAATACAGACTAGAAACTATGGAGTATATTTTGGCATGAATTTTTTAATAAGAAAAAGAGAAAGCTCCTCTCACACTCACACCAAAAAAAGTCAATTAATGGATGTAGAAGGAACATCAGAATTAGAAGGCTACCATCTGGCAACTTTCCTAACATTCCTTTAAGCAGAAAACATTAACAGATGCTCAAACCAGTGGGTAAAGAGACAAGAAAGGACAGGAAAAGAAGTTTTACATGGTCCTGAAGTATCTCTTCATTAAAATGCCTAGGAACCGACAGGAAAATCTACAGGAGGAAAGCTGGCAAACTCCTGGAACCAAGATTAGAATCATCGCTAATGAGAAAGTTAAAGTCATGTACTGACTGACAGGCTACAAAGAATAACGAATCACTTTTGTGAAAAGTAAGAAACCACTGAATTATCCCTGCCAAAGACACACAGCCTGAGTCTAGCCACGAGGAATCATCGGGACATTCTTCAAGTACGCAGCTTGCAGCTGGCAGGGGGCAGGAGGACTCAGAACTTCGGCCAAAAGATGAATTAACTATTCCAGAACTGCAGCAAAGCATGCTTCTGAATTCCGGCTTTTGCATTTGGTGTGTACTGCTGGAACAATTGGCATTCGTTATGAACGGGGATGCGGACTACACTGAAGGAGTCGTTGTGAGTGTGGATGTTGATTCTGATGGCTGTCTGTGTGAGGTCATGTGAGCTTGCTGTCTGAGACACACACTGGAGCACCCCAAAGTGAGGAAGCATGCCGCCTGCACCGTGCTCCGGGACCATACAGCCGAGAAAAGATCTCAATTATAGTCTTGCTCTGATTTTTAAGTTCAAAATTATTAAAAAAAAAAAAAGTGACTATGAAATGGGGAAATTCCCGCAATGCAATTCATTTTCCTAAATATATAATCAAATTGTATTAAACATAAAATGCATCTGAATTAAACTACTAAGAAAAATTAAATCAAAAAAACGAAAGAGGAAGAAAAGCAACCAGAAAAGTAGCACATGTTTGTATGCTCTATGTGATCTGTGGTTCCAAATCACAAGACATTTCCTTAAGACTCTTCCAGAAGGCTGGCAGAATGAGGCTGCGCGCTGTAGTTCACTAAGGAAACGGGTCTATCACTTTCTGTGACATTAGAAAAACTGTAACTATGATGGAGTGAGGTAGCATGTGTCAGGAACTTTACCTATGGTCTTCTTTCCTGATAACCAAGCCTCAAGGAAAAGCATTCGATCCCCTGTCCTGCCCAGGGCAGCTGGAGAAGGAGCTACATGAGGAAGCAGCCAAGGTTCCACAACCAATTCCTGGCACCCAGGACAGAACCCCAGTTTCCAGGAACCAAACGCCTAAGGGAAGGCACCTTGCAGGTGCCTTTCCAGCTCCAAAATCAAACCCATTGCCTTCAAGGTCCATGGATGTGTTGTGTGTTCAGCACACAATTACTGGACCCAAATGCTAAAGCATCATGTTAAATATTTAAAACAGCCAATAAACTTGTCTGGGTTCCAACACACAGAACACCATCCGTTGAGAAGATAAAGAGTATCATTTCATCAGCCCTGCACTTTTTTGTATCTACAAAGCTGGGGCTTCTAGAACATTATTGCATTCTACATTTAACATGAGATCAGCAAACTACTTAAACGCTTCTGTGTAAATTTGCACAAATCATGGGGGAAAAAAAAGGAATTGTAAGCCATCACCCCGCTACAACTTCAGACACGATGAAAAAGCAATTTCAAAGAGAAGCTAAGCCCAATCAGGGAGATCAGCCTGACATTTACTACTTGCTGGGTGTGTAGTAAGACAACTCCATCTGCAGTGTGCCGCAATTACCACGCCGCCTCTATAATTAAGAACACAACCTCAGCTGAATTCCGGAGTGCGACCCTCCGCTCTGCGCCGATGCCTCTGGGGCCGGTAAAATAAATGTTAAGACTGAGTCAAGTGGACGGATGCTCTTTTCCGAGAGGACAGGAGAGAGTCTAACAAAGCGGTGATCTTTCGGTTTTAGCACGTTATTTTGACGAGCAACTCTTGAGTCTCCGCAGTCAACCATCTTTCAAACAGTAGAGGGCTCGCACGGAGCCCCGGGTCCTCCCCGCGCCGGCAGAAAACGCCTGCAGAGCGGGCACAGAAGAGGCTCCCGGGCGCGAGGCCCACCCCGCAAGCCGGCCGAGAGAGGGGACAGGCCCAACCGTCCCACACCACGGCGGCAACTGCGCCCGGCCGGGGAGCGGCCACCTTCCCTGCTCCGCGCCCCGCCGGCTGATGCAATCAACACAGACAGGCGGCCGCGGCCCCTTACCCAAGGGAGGGTCCCCGGAATTCACGGTTAGACAGAGCGCTGCCATCTCCGCCGGTGAGCTGGTCTCCCTGGTCAGTGCGCCCGCCCGTTCGAGTCCACCCCAACCTGGCCGAAAGCCGGGATGCAACGTGTGCGTGCGCCCCAGGCCGCCGAGGCTGCGCCCCGCCCCGCCGCGCCGGCCCCGCGCACGCTGCGTACGTCACCACGGCGCGCCGGTTGCGCTCGCCTGGCGCGGCTAGGTTCGCCTGGGTTTACGTGGCGGTCCGACCCGCCCTAAAAAACTACGCTCGGGGAGGCGGCTTCGCTACACTCCACAGAACCAAGTCAGGAGGTTTTTCAGATGCGCAGAGTCACGGACGTTGTCCTTACTCGCCCGATTCCCCCAGAATCGCAGCGATGGGTTCCGCAACCTCACTTCCTCCAGTTAGTTATTTTGTGCACAACAAACAATCGCTCTCTTCCGCACCCTCTGCCAGCTCTTAAGATTCATGCTTGTTGAAGTCCTTCCCTTACACTTAAGATTCCTCACAATGCGGAACACATGCTGGAATTAATTCTTGCTCTGTCAGAATCCTGTCACTCAACGTGGGAGACCCAAATGTAGCTTCTTTCTTTGGCGTGGCGCATCCCTAGCTATTATGGATATGTTTGGAGTCAACCCGCAAAGGGCAAAACTTTGCTGTCTCTGAAAACCATGCAGCATTTTTTCTCCCTCGTGGTGTGTTGCCCCTCTCCTTAACAAAGAGATCAAGAGGTTCCTACCCTCTCCGACCCACAAGTCCTACTCTTTCCTGAACTGGTTAGTATGAAAATTAGGAATAAAATCATTGGCAGCTCCGAGACAAGACATGAAAGGTGGCACATGTGTGTGTGGGAGACCCAGATAGAATTTCAGTCTCCTGGCTTTGGCCTGGCCCAGTCCTGACGATTGTGGCCAACTGGGGAGTGAGCCCAAATGTAAGATCTCTCTCTAACTATGCCTTTCAAATAAATAAACTTTTTAAAGATAAAAGATTCTACCCTTTTCAACTGAGAAAAAAAAAGTGCATGATCAGGAGGACATAATAACTTACGAATGAATGATGTGTTAAGGTAAGAAACCCAAAATTATGCTGAGAGTAGTACTGATGTCCTAATAGGTGAGTCTTGGTTGGTAAACGGTGAAATAAAAGTTACAGGCGGCTTCTGTTTTCCACTTTGCCCCTGCATTCATTCCCTAGAGACTGGCTCAAAATCAAAAGAGAACTGCCTACCCTAAAGTTTCACATGATCAAGCTGAAACTGACCTGTGATCTTACCACGCAGGAAACCAAGATGGCTTAGCAAAGCTTGACGACAGCCAACTTCCCATCTGGGCCAATACCAGTTGGTAAGATTGTAAAGTTCCTTTTACTTTAATCCTTACACAAATAAGGAAACTGAAATAACCTGTTGTGAACAATCAAGTATTTTCTTCTTTCTCTCTGTTCCCACCACAAGGAAAGTAAGTTTGGAATGAACCATCTGCTTTTATTTGACCTTTTTCTCTATTCTTCCAACCTCTCTGCTCTCCCCATTAGAACACTTACTTAAAAATGAATAAATCAGGGCCTATCGCGATAGCGTAATGGTTAAGGTCCTCGCCTTGAACGCACCGGGATCGCATATGGGAGCCGGTTCTAATCCCGGCAGTTCCACTTCCCATCCAGCTCCCTACATGTGGCCTGGGTTTTATATATAATTATATATACATATACTTAATTTGAAGAAAGCAGAATGTCAGCAAGGGATAAACAAGAGAGAGAGAGATTTCATGTATTGCTTCACTCACAGAATGCCCACAATATCTAGGACTGGATCAGTCCAAAACCAAATGCTGACAGCTTCTTCTTGGTCTCCCACATGGTGGCAAGGAGTCAACTACTTAGGCCACCATCTACTGCTAGACCGGAAGCAGATAAGCTGACTCAAACAGGTACCTCAGTATGGGATACTGGTGTCCAAAGAAGCAGCTTAAACTTCACTGAACAATGCCAGTCCCAGTATGCATACTCTAGTCTATGAAATGAACTGCTGCCTGATTCAGGAATATAAAATTTAAAGAAGAGAAACGATAGTGTTTGTTGATGGCTTTTCGGGGATATTCATTATCCAATTAAGCAAAATTGATTATAAGGTTAATGGATTATTTTTTTAAAAGATTTACCTCTTTTTATTGGAAAGGCATATTTACAAAAAAAAAAAAAAGACAGAGAAAAACCATCCCTCCTCCAGTTCATTCCCCAAATGGCCACAATGGTCAGAGCTGAACCAATCTGAAATCAGGAGCCTCCTCCATGTCCCATGGGTACAGGGTTCCAAGGCTTTGGGTCATTCTCCACTGCTTTCCTAGAACACAGTCAGAGAGTTAGATTGGTGGAGCAGCTGGGACACAAGGCGGTACCCATATGGGATGCTGGCACTTGCAGAGTATTAGCTAGTTGAGGCATTGTGCCAACCCCCAGTTTGTTTGTTTTTTAATCAAGAATGACTATTGGATTTTCAACATCCCTGAACTCAGTATATCAACATACTATAAAAAATTGTGGAAAATAGAATTAACTGAAAAGTTTATTTTGGGGAAAAAACATTTTGAATCCTTATACAATGAATTTTAAAAAACTTAATGGAAAATACGAGAGGCTATACAAGGATTTTTGCACCAAATTTAACTGTTAATTCAGGTTTATTTTTATTTTTGTTTATTTGAAAGGCACAGTGACCAAGAGGAAGAAGAGAAAGGGAGAGAAAGAGGAGATACTTTTCATCTATTGATCCATGCCCCAAATGCCTACTACGCAGAAATCTGTGTTCCTGGCATAATTTTGGGCTGCTACTTTCCTTTTCCTTTAAAAACTGTGGTTGAGTAAAGCAAGTCTTAATTCCACAACATCTATAGACCTGATTTGAAAGAAACTTCTGATTTTGCCGTAAGACTTAACACTATTCCTTTTGCTTGGGAATAAAAAAAAAAAGAACCTTCTTATCTAGAAAGCCAGGTCTGGCCAAGGTCAAAGCCATGAGCTAGGAATTCTATCCGTCTCCCTTATGGGTGGCAGAGGTCATACACTTGGTCCATCCATCAGCTGTTGCCTTCCCAGGAGCATTCATAGGAAGCTGGATCTGAAGTGGAGCAGCCAAAAACTAAACTGGCACTCCGGTAAGAAATACAAGCATCTCAAGCTGCAACTTTATCTGCTGCATTAAAATATGTGATAGTTCAGTTTTTCCATGTCCCTGTTGTGATGTATCTGACAGGAGATAGAGAGGGATAGATGATAAAGTCTCTGCCCTCGGGCCCGGCGCGGTGGCGCAAGTGGTTAAGTCCTCGCCTTGCAACCCCGGGATCCCATATGGGCGCCGGTTCTAATCCCGGCAGCCCCGCTTCCCTTCCAGCTCCCTGCTTGTGGCCTGGGAAAGCAGTGGAGGACGGCCCAAGGCTTTGGGAACCTGCACCCGTGCGGGAGACCCGGAAGAGGCTCCTGGCTTCGGATCGGCATAGTATCGGCCCGTTGCGCTCACTTGGGGAGTGAATCATCGGACGGAAGATCTTCCTCTCTCTCTCTCCTCTCTCTGTATATCCGCCTTTCCAATGAAAAAATAATAAAAATAAATCTTTAAAAAAAAAAAAAAAAAAAAAAAGATAAAGTCTCTGCCCTCAAAGTTCCTACAGTCTTGCAGATAAAACAGAAAGATAACTGGAGATTGTTGCTATATAAGTATAGCAACCAAGATATGTTCATCTTATAATCATTTTAAAAATGGGAGTAGAAATAAAGCAGAAGGGGTTGGTGCCATGGCATAGCAAACTAAACTTCCATAAAGATGCTGATCCATGTCCCAGCTGCTCTGCTGCTGGTCCAGCTCCCTGTTTATGGATTGGTCCAATTCTGGTTGTTGCAGCCATTACAGGAGTGAATCAGTGGATGGGAGAACTGTCACTCCATCTCTCTTTATAACTTCTCTCTCACTCTCTCTGTTATACTTTGTTTCTTTTTTTAAATACAAATAAGTGAATCTTAAATAAAAATTTTGCAGAATATGGGAATTGATCATGCATGGTCAGCAGAGGACAGTAAAGAAAAATGCCTGTGATGAGATGTCCTAATTAGGGGATAGATAGGGGTCAGAGGAACAACATGAGCTAAGTCCTGGAGTCATGAAGCTGTGAGTACCCAGAAAGCTGACTTGTTCATTACTGGCAAACTATAAAATATCTTAGAAATGGTAGATTAAAAGCCTCACAAGTTAGAAAGAGCCTAAATCATGGATATAATGTTCTGTGTATAATGTTGACCTAGAGTTTATCCTGTAATACAAAGTGGAGTTTTAAGCAGGAATGAGAGACATGGTCAGAGTTCCATTTTATGAGAATCACTTTGACAAAAGAACAGTACAAGGTTTAGGATAGGCAGGACTCATGATAGGGAGACCAGATAAGATTATATTACAACAACACAGAGAATTACTATCCACTGGTTCATTCCCCGAATGGCTGCTGCAGCTGGGCTGGGCCAGGCCAAGGTGAGGAGTGAGGGCCTTCATCTGGGTCTCCAATGTGCAAGCAGGGACCTAAGTATTAGGCCATATTTGCAGCTTTCTCAAACAGCTTAGCAGGGAGCTGGATGGGAAGCAGAGTGAATAGGTCTACAACCAGCAATCTTATGAAATGTTGTCACTGCACATGGCAGCTTAGTTCAGCGTGCTATCACATGAGAATTTATAGTTTTGAAATACATGAAAAAACCAGTAAGAAGCAGTGAGTAACACAAAGAGCTAAGATTAAATAATTTATTTTAAGGAAACTTTTTATCATAAAACTGTTTCATCAACATACATAATAATATTTATATTTATGTGTGAAGCAGGAACATAGGAGAGTAAAATGCTAGGCAACTAACCTGTCTATGTTCTACCTGGAAAACTTTGCTTTAAGAGATAGGAATGTTCAATCAACAACTGACCCTTATGGTTAGGCGTAACTAAACCTTTTTTTTTTCATTTCTCTGAATAAAAAGAAGACAAGAAATATCACATGAAAACTTTAAAAACTCTCCAGATGTCAGACTAGTCAATTAATCAAGCTTAACACGGTAAATCTATTTCCTAATCCTAACAGA